GGGGGGGGGGACTAGATAAAGGAAGGTGAAGGGATTAGCTAAAGAACATGTGCATTGCCCATGGACACAGACAGTAGTGTGGTGAGGGCCAAGGGGGGGTGGAGCAGGGGCTGGGTTGAGGTGGGCAAAGGGGGGGAGAAATGGGACATCTGCAATAGTGTCAACAATAAAAAATTTAAAGTAAAATGAAAAAAGGGCTCATACAAATGGTATATAAATTAGTGGACAATATCATGAAGAACCAGTTTACAAGTGAGGAAATACAGCAGTTAATGCACAAAATATATTAAAATTTATAATGGCATTCCATAAAATGATAGTCATAATATTCCTAATGCTACTTCAAATAAAACAAAAGCTGCAAATTGATGCTTGTAAAATATTTAACAGATGGCATAGGAAAAGACATCCACAAAAAAGATTAATAAGAAACATCTTATTTCTCTGCTGAAACTCTTACCTATTTTATTCCAAGAATATTCTTCCCAACTTCTTGAAGCATTATTATAAAAGCTGCTTTAAAATTTTATCTGATAATTCCAACATCTTTCTCGTCTTGAGTTTGTTTTGTGTAGGTTGTCTTTTCCCTTGTGAGATACTGAGATTTTCCTGGTTCTTCATATGTTAAGTGATTTTGTACATATATTAGATATTTTGATGTTATGATACTGTCTTGTTTAAATCCCATGGAGAATGTAAGGATGTTACTTTGTTTTGTTTTTGAGGGATGGGAGGATTTTTTAGGCAGACATTTGACCTCATTAGATTCAGGGCACAAGTTTCTACCTACCTTCTATACACTAAAATTCCAATGTCTAGTTTTTACAGTCTTTGTAGTGCTCTTCAGCTCTGTTTTGCATATATGCCTCCTAGTGGCTAATTTGAGAACCAGATAAGTGATATGTTGAGGGTCAGAGCCACATATGCTTAGCTCCAGGTGACCCCAGGAGTTTTTATAAACTTTATGGGATCTCTTTCTTTAGCTCCTTTCTTTTTGCAAGTTCCTTGACACTTTCTGGCTCCTAGAGACACCCTTCTCCCTTGTCCTGTCACTAGATAACCAGGGTTGTCATTTCTGTTTTGCTACACACTTCCACAACCACATCTGCCTTCTATGCCAAGGAGCAGGATAGTAGAGAAAGAGTATTAGCCATGAGGATTCCCTTCACACTTAAGGGTTCTGCTTTCTTGGAGTTTTACGTCCTTGTCTAGCCATTGCTGCTTTCATCACTGCCACAGCTGCTGCCTTCGGATTACCTGGGGACAGAGGCCAAGAGAAAGGGAAAACAAAAACAAAATCCGAGAGGATCCTCCTCTGCCTTTGCCGCTCTTCAGACCAAAAAAGAAAAGACTTCTCTTGGAGCCATTTCTGTTTGCACTTAGAGTGCACTTCTGAGTTTGGACTGCCATTGAGTCTAGGCTGAGTAGTCCCAGGGGAAACAAAACCAGGAAACTCACAGCTGGGTTAGTACTTATAGTTGTGGTTTCCCCCCTCAAGCCAACTGCTACCATTTTCAGAGTCCTAAGATAGCTGCTCCATGTATTCTGTTTAGGTTTTTAGTTGTATATATTCAGTGGGAGAGACAGGATAAACTGTGCTTACTCCGTTTTTTTTCAGAACCAGAACACAGATACCATTTTAATTTCTATAACTGTATTGTTAATTTGTTTTGGTTAAGAATTTTTGGACATCCGTGCTGTACTAGGCTTTGCTGGAAATGTGAAGATGGATAATCTTTAAGGTGCTTCTAGTAGTTCCACAGGTAGGCATGTGATGTAGGGGCGGAGGCAGAAAGTAAACATAATTTCATATTATGCATTAATAATAATTGAGTTATTAATCATATCCTTTTGATCTATTTCTGCTTCAGGTTTGACTTTGTGTCTAAAGGAGAGACGATCCTATTTATATTCCATTAATTTTCCACTTTTCTTTTCATCCCAAAATATAAGGGATGAAAAGTCTCTGGATATTTTTGTGCTGAATGAAATTAACAGTTTTAGTAAGAATAAGGAATATACTTAAATATATAATTATAATAAGGATAAGAACTTAAAATAAGAAGAAGTAATTTATTATTATATACTTGTTTCTCAGGTCTTAGAAAAATATCCAAACACACCCATGAGTCATAAAGAAATTCTTCAAGTTATCCAGAGAGAAGGACTAAAAGAAATCAGGTGAGTTATTTAAATATTATTAGTAATAATTATAATCCATGATTAGACTATTTTATAGTATATCGCAGTGTACTTTAGTCCTGAAGATTGATTATATAGTGATAACTGCATTGTTAATTTCTGATTTATTCATTTGTCAGATCTTTGGCATTTTCAGTCATAACACAGTTATAAAACCAAAAGTAAGTTTAAAAGAAAAGTTTTAGATGGTAACTATCTCCACACCCATGCACTTTAATTCTTAGGAAGGCCTAGAGCCATCTTCAAGCCTTCATCTATCAATTCAGGCTTTTGATTTAATAAGCTCGGTCATTAGCAGATAAAAAGTACTCTAGTGCAAGGAGAGTGCTAGAGGTAGGCAGTCTAGGAAGAAATAGCCTTGGCCACAAAGAATACAATGGAAAAGATACATAAAGAGTATATATTTCAGATAATAGTCATATATATGTTCAAATAAAACAGCCTAGGGTAAAGTAATATAGGATGGAAGGTAAACATGCTTTAATTTCTAAGAGCCTTATTATATTAAAATAGCACATAATAGTCACTGTTCATAATCAAGACACTTTGTCATCAAGAAATGTTAAAATTGTGTTCAACATAATTTGTAGGTTAAGGCAGAAATCTGGGAGTCTACATTAGAGATATTTTCATCAAGATAGAAAAGATTGAGGTGCTTTAAAACTGCTACTAGTTGTTCTCAGCTGGGGATGGTGTTGTGTAACACCCTTAGGGAAAGTGTTCAGAATTTTGGGGAGCTATTTTTTGATTGTCACAGTAACTATGACATTTAATGGGCAGGTAACAGGGATGCTAAATGTATTCCATTGAAGAAGAATTCAGCTCAAATGCCAATAGTATTCCTATTGAGAAATAGTCAGTTATGCTGATATATTTGTCAATAAACAACAAAATATTTTTTGATAAATAGGTATTGCGTGTTCTAGATTTTAATTATCATTTTCTTTTCTTTAACAAGAAATTCAATTTGAAATTTTTTTATTGGCCTTTTTTTGCTAATGCAGTTAAAAAATTGTTTTGATTTGTGGCCAAATGTCAGTAGGCTGGGATAAATTAGGCTTGCTTTATTAATATAAAACAATGAAGTGTAAATTAGTATATCTCGCTTTATATAATGTATGTCCCTGAAAAATTATGTGAACATTTGTAAATTAAAACATTAAAATTCATTTGAAGAATTAGCTTTTAAACATATTTTTTGTAAATTATTTAAAAATTTATCAATGATATAATTCTAAGTTGTTATTTGAATTAGATTTATTAAGTTAAAATTAAAGCACAATACCCATTTAATCACAGATCAATTCGTATAAGACTGTAGGAGAACAGGATAAGTGATTATTGTGACTGAGGAATGAATTCTGCTAAGGTATTCTAATATCCTTTTATAACAACTATTGGGTCTTATAGAATAGGAGTGAGCTAGAGATTTCATTTCTCTTCATAAAATTAGACTTGATACACACTGGAGAAATAGGTCAGGAAATCTGGTATAAAGAGATCAGACTTCACCAGTCATTTTAGTTCAAAATGCCAATTGCAGGGTCATCCAGCTCTAACATAGCAAGACTCTGTGACTTTAAACTTTTCATAATTTCTAGGAAGTAGGCAAGAACACTAAATAAGTAAAGAATAGTAAATTTTAAAAAAGAACAGAAGGGTGAACTTGTGGTGATGCAGTTATGTGACCACAACACAGTTCTTTCTAAGTCATCAGTGACCTGTATTTTGCCAACTCCATGGGACTTTTAGTTCTCACCTCTCTTCCCCTCTTCTCAGCATTATTTATCACAGCTGACTGCTAGCTCCTTCTTGAAACTGTTTTGTTACCTGAAGTGACTACAAACAAATATTTCTGCTTTCCTTCCTTCCTCTCTAAGTTTTTCTTCTCTTTCTTCCTTTTTTTTTGCCTATTACCTTCTCTCCAACTTAAGTGCATTTTTGTCCATTCTCATAGCTTTAAATATAATTTTTGGCTTGTCAATTCTCAAATACATAGGGAATTTGGTGCCCACCACAGCCTTTGTACATGCTGACTCCCCCTTAGCAAAGAATGTGCTTTCCCTTAACTCTTATTTATTTTTCAGGTGTCAGTTTGAATATGTCTCTCTCAGAAAACTTTGATTTCTGGTCTAGATCACTTTTTTTTTTTTTTTTTTAGTTTATTATAGTGTGCTGTGTTGTTTCTTCATAGCACTTAAGGTTTAAAATTACATATTTTTGTGATCTTAAAAACATCATGTAGCTTCTCTATAGCTTACATTAAGCTAGCTCCATTAAGGCAGTGACATTGCCTGCTCTTCTCCTCCCCCCATAGTGCTTGGCACGTAACAGGTATTGAAACCTACTTATTAATGAATATGTGAAATTTCATTTGGAAGATCACGTTCAAATGTAATTATAACTTATTCTTTTGCTGCTGTTTTAATGTCAAATAGTAGTCTTATAACCTTTAAAGAGCCCTAGCTGGTTTTGCTCAGTGGTTAGAGTGCCAGCCCAAGGACTGAAGGGTCTCAGGTTTGATTCCGGCCAGGGGCACGTACCTCAGTTGCAGGCTTCATCTCCAGCCTCGGTCAGGGTGTGTACGGGAGGCAACCAATGGATGATGTGTCTCTCTCACAGCAGTGTTTCTTCCCCCCCTTCCACTCCCTCTAAAAAGCAATGGAAAAATATCCTTGGGTGAGGATTAGAAAAAAAAAATCTTTAAACTTTTTAGACAGGTTACAGAATGAAGTAGATACTGTGGTTATTGAAGATGTGCTGTTTCTTACAGTTTTATTTTTATTTCTCAGTCCTCAATACATACATGGATTTCAATACTTTTCCCTTTGTGGTTTCTTTTTCTGCTCCCCCATTTTGAAGACTCTTGCTTAATTTTGATTATTCCATACTGTATTGTTTTATTTTAAAATGTATTAATGAGGAAGTAGCCCAAATGTTCATCAACAGATGAGTGGATAAATAAAATGTATATACATTCAATGGAATATTATTCAGCCTTTAAATGAATGAAATTCTGATAAATGCTACATGGATAAATCTTAAAAACATGCTTAGTGAAAAAAACCATGCTTAGTGAAATAAGCTAGGCACAAAAGGACAAATATTGTACAATTACACTTACATGAGATACCTAAAATAGGCAAGTTTATACAGACAGAACGTGTGATAGAGGTTGCCAGGGCTGAGAGCAGGGGAGAATAGGGAGTTACTGTTTAATTGGTACAGTTTTTTGGGGGATGATGAAAAAGTTCTAGAAATAGATAGTGGTAATTGTTGCACAACATTGTGGTTGTACTTAATACCACTGAATTGTACACTTAAAAATGTCTAGCCTGGCTGGGCGTGGCTCAGTGGTTGAGCATCGACCTAGGATCCAGGAGATTGAGGTTCAATTCCCAGTCAGGGCACATGCCCGAGTTCCAGGTTCAATCCCCAGCAGAGGGGGCACGCAGGGGGCAGCCGGTCATTGATGACACTCTCATCATTGATGTTTCTGTCTCTCTCTCCCCCTCCCCCTTCCTCTTTCTGACATCAATAAAGTTATATTTTAAAAAAAAAAGAAAAAGGCTAAAATGGTAACTTGTATGCTATGTATATTTTGCCACAAACAACTAAAAAAAAATGTATTAAAAATGAAATGATTGGTTCCTGGATGAGAAAAATTGAGGCTACTTGTTCCTTTAAGAAGTTAGGTGATAATATGGAAAATTATTTACGCAAAATATGTAATTATTAATTAATTAGAACATTTAAAAAGTATTATAACATTTAAGTTAAATTCTCTTTTATATCTGCATTTTTGACAACAGGGAGTAAAAAAGGTCCTCAAATTTTCCCCCTCACAATAACCTGTGACTTTGTGTATTCCCTTATTATTATTTTTTATACCCAAGTGCACCCCTTTTAAAGATAGTTTAGGATTTCTCATAGAATCATAGGGAAGAAAGAAGATACAGATTGTGTTCTTGTAGGTGAAAAATGTTCAAGGCTGTTCTAAAAGTAGCTTAGTTCTGTTGAGAACAGATAAGATGTGAAAGGGCTTGGAGTAGCCCATAGGAAGAAGAAAGATAAAAAGATTTAAAAGATTGGGGGGAAAAGAGAAATTTGGGACTTGTAGGTTGTAACAGTTATCGGTAATGTAAGTAGATGCTCTAACTGTGCTATTTGGTGAAGAAAAAGAAGCCAATTTCTGTACTATTTGTCAGAAAATTAGAAATGTTTTTAAAAATTTGCTGTGACATCTCACCTTCTTGTTCAATTTTCCATGGCTCTATAATTGTTTTTTCTCTTACATACCACAATAACTTGCTGATAGTTCTCTGGGGCCGAACTCTCCAAACAGAATTGCTTGTTCCAGGTTTGAAGTCCTGTTAGAACCTTTTAAAAAATTCTGTAAGCTTTTAATCATTTTTTAATCTAGACAGTTACCTTTTTTAAAAAGTCAGTATTATTAATGGAGTAGAGATTCTCTTTACTGGGTTTATTTTGTTACAAACCCTCCATTCTCATTATAATTGATGTGTTGATCCTGGATCATGTTACACATTTATGGGCTATTTTGAGCCAGAGCTCACCCATGTAGCTGGCTACTTTTCCATCACGACTGACCGGTCAGCAAGGTGTTACTTGAAGGAAGAGTTAGTTATTTTTGTTTCAGAACACTAGAAATGAGCCCTTACCAGGTGGCTGAATTGGTTGGAGCGTTGTCCAGTACACCAAAAGGTTGCACATTCGAATTCTAGTCAGGGCACATACCCAGGTTGCGGGTTCCATCTCTGGTCAGGGCACGTACAGGAGGCAACCAATTGATGTTTCTCTCTCTCTCCCTTTCTCTCCCCCTTCATCTTTTTCTTTTTTTAACTATATCTTTATTGATTTCAGAGAGAGGAGAGGGAGAGAGAGAGATAGAAACATCAATGATGAGAGAGCCATTGATCGAGCCCACAACCCGGGCATGTGCCCTGACTGGGAACCGAACCCTGATCGCCCAGATCCTAGTTTGACGCTCAACCGCTGAGCCACGTCCAGCCGGGCCCCCTTCCTCTTTTTCTAAAATCAATAAAAACATATCATCGGTTGAGGATTAAAAAAACACAAAACACTAGAAATGAAATCAAGGATTCAAAGATACAGATGTGTCCTTTGCATTTTGGCTATATACTTCAGTTTCTAAGCGAAATTTTATTTTATGATGAATCAGTAACATTAATGACAAATGGCTGTTGGTAGCCATCAATATTTAAAATAGCCTTTGAGCCCAGTCAGCATGGTTCAGTGGTTGAGCACTGACCCATGAACCAGGAGGTCACGATTCAATTCCCAGTCAGGGCACATGCCTGGGTTTTGGCTTCCATCCCCAGTAGGGGGCGTGCAGGAGGTAGCCTATCTATGATTCTCATCATTGATGTTTCTATCTTGCTCTCCCTCTTCCTTCCTCTCTCTGAAATCAATAAAAGCATATTTAAAAAAAAGTTTAAATAGCCTTTGAAAAACTTAAGATATATCCTTTTTGTCTGAGGAGATAGATTTTACAGTTAGCAGGAAAACTAACTCTTCTTATTTTCTTCTGACTTGAGTCCATACTTCTTCCTGTGATTATAAACTGTGCCATTGGTCATGAAGTTTCAGAAGCAATTCAAACCCCAGTCTCTCAAATCCACCCACACAACTACTACCACACAGTTTCATGGAATTGTTTCTGGGCTTTGGGGGTAATTTTTCTTTAATTTTTAAAAAATTTTAAGTTGCTTAACCTTGTTAATCAGGAATTAACTATTAAAAGGTAAAGAGAACGCAAAAGAATACAGTAATAGCAGATACAGAGAGCAACCAGTACCTCTAGGGCTGAGGCAGTGTGCCCTAGGAAAGAATAACATTCAGGGAGGCCCCTCCATGTTCTTAGATGTCCATGGAGAAAGGTGGGCTCTGGTTCAGTGGATGACAAAGTTCACTGGTGCTGTAGTGTGGGGACACATGGGAAACAGCCTACTGGGGACTGGAAGAACTTGCTGGAAAGCCTCCTGCTGGACACCTGTCCAACTCACTGGCATGCCAGCAGTATTTTCTGGGAAGCCACTCACAGGCATTCTGCTGAATCTTGTTGAAGGGTGAGTGCTGTTTAGTGTCTCTCATGTTACTGGGTGCTGCATGCTACAGAGCAGACAGGCAAGAGCACACTAAAACCAGAAAAGAAAAGCACCTCTTCTTTCTGCATTGTTCCTTCAGCACTCTGACAAAAGTTAACATTGAGCCGTTGGCAAAGGAGAAATGTTTATAGGGTCCAACTCTGCTGTCACAGAGAGGGACAAAAGAGGTTGGATTTAGAGCTAAAAGTCAATGAATTGATAACTGGCACAGAAGCCTTCAGTGATGAGAGAGAATTGATCGGCTGCCTCCTGCACACCCCCTGCTGGGGATTGAGCCCACAACCCGGGCATGTGCCTTGACCCGGAATCAAACCTTGATCTGAATCGTAGGTCGATGCTCAACCACTCAGCCATGCTGGCCAGACCTAACAGCTTTTAAATAGATCTTTGTTTTGTTGTCATACAGAGCTCAAAGTTGTTAACTTAGCAAGAAGTTTTTCTTACATGTTTCAGTCTTGTATTACAAGCAAGCTCCTTTAGGGTTGGAATTGTAAAGAACTCTGGGAACCATATAGCAAAGATCATGCTCAATAAACGTTTGTCAGATTGAAATTTACCTCTTTGGAGGAGTCCACATTGCAGCTGATTAGTATTAATACATTTACTTGTGAACAAAATAATCTCTCTTACATAGCATTTAAGTATGTGTTAGCTCAACTCACACCAAAAACAAATCCCATCACCTAATTGTTCCCACCTTTTCTTATGTAAAATTATACAGCAAGGGAAATAAAATCAACATTGTAAAGTAGTAACTTTACTGCAGAAGTTATTCCTGCAGAGTAGATCTTTTGACTATTTGCCAAGCTGAATTGCTTTGAGGTGATTTCATTAGAAAGAGCTCAGTTTAAGAATGAAGACCAATGTTAAATTGGTACTATATTTATCTAAGGTTGGCTGACACCTTTGAGTTTGGCCTGCATTTTCTTTATCTGTTAGTTGCAGTCTGCTTTCAAGCCCTCAAACCTGGTAAGGATGCCAAAAAAGACTAATAAACAGCAACAAAACCAAAATGCTTGGCTATTGGCAGAAAATATTCCTGTTCATTGTTAATGAGTTTCATTATGGATCAAAGGGAAGCTAATAAACCTTAAGTTCCATAGTTGATGGCTTTATGATGGCTCCTTGAAATTGAAATGCATGGGAAGAATATTAAAGAACAGGGAATATTCATTTTATCCACATTTAAGTGTAAACTAATGTAATAGTTTTATTCTGCCACATAAGTAGGGTACTGCAACTGTTATCTGAAATGGTGTAGTCTGTTGAGCTGAATTTAATTGTTAGGCTAACTTGTAAATTCTGAAGAAGAAATTAATGTTTTATATAGCAACGGGGGGGGGTGCTAATTTGAAGTGTTTTAGACAATGCTGGGAGGGGAAGGGAGAGTTTATATTTTGGCTTTATTGTTGCTTTGTAAAGAGAAATTAAAAGCTCTTTTTTTCCCTCCTTTCATTTTCTTGGGGTGCATTCCAACTCCAGAAGGTAAGAAGTATTATTTTATTCTAAAGAATTATTATACAATTATAAAGCACTTTAGCAAGTTTAATTGACCTTACCTTTGGGTGCATGATTTTTACTTTTTGAAATGATATAATTAGCCTAGAAACTTAGAGTGATATTACTATGTAAATGTTTTATTATATGTACTTTTTTGTTCTTGCAGTTTGTAAGCATTATTTGGTCATAATTTAGAAACTCAATCTACATTTAATTTTATTAAACTCATCATTTGACTTACTAGCATTGGGATACCTAGTATTCTGCAGATTAATAATGAAAATACTTATGATACTGGGAATGTGAGAGGTAACATTTGCTTTTGTTCAGCATTTATAAAATGTAATGCCACTTCTGGTCTCTGTGGTTTCAGATGAGAAATCTGCTGTCATTTGTGTTTCTCTATACGTAATGTGTTGTTTCTCTCTACTTTTGGGACTTAAAAAAATTTTTTTATTTGGCGTTTAGAAATTTAATTATGATGTGTCTTGGTATGTGGACTTCTTTGAGTTTATCCTATTTAGATTCCCTGAGTTTCTTGAATATGTAGGTTTATTTTTCCCTAAATAAAAGAAGTTTTCAGCCTGGCCAGGCATGGCTCAGAGTTTGAGCAACAACCTAGGATCCAGGAGATCAAGGTTCGATTCCCGGTCAGGGCACATGCCCGGGTTGCAGGCTTGATCCCCAGTCAGGGGCATGCAGGAGGCAGTCAGTCAATGACTCTCATCATTGATGTTTCTCTCTCCCTCTCTCTCTCCCTCTCCCTCCCTCTCTCTGAAATTAATAAAGCTATATTAAAAAAAAATTTTTTTTTTAATTCTTAAAAAAAAAAAAGTTTTCAGCCATTAATTCTTTAAATACTTTTTCTCCTTTCCTTCTTGAACTCTGATGGTATAAACTTTGAAACTTTTGTTATTATCCCACAACTCCCTGAATTTCTGTTAAATTTTTTCAATGTTACTTTCTGTTGTTCACATCAGGTAAATTTTATTGATCTGTCCTCAAGGTCATTGATTCTATTTTGTTATCTTTATTCTACTATTGAGCCCATTTAGCAAGTTTGTGGTTTTTTTCAACTAGCAAGTTTTTACATTTCTAATTACACTTTTCAGTTCTATAATTTCTATTTGTTATAGCTTCTGTTTCTTTGCTTATATTTGCTGTATTTTCATTTGTTTCAAGAGAATGAATAAGTGCTTATTGAAACTTTTTTTTATTGAAACATTTTTATGACAGCTGTTTTAAAATTCTTGTCTTATAATTTCAATATCTGTCTCACTGTTGGCATCAGTTGATTGTCTTTTCACATGTAGATTGTGAGTTTTCCTGGTTCTTGGTCTGATGGGTGATTTTTCTATTGAACCTTGGATATTTTAGCTATTATGGTAGGAGATGTTGGGTCCTATTAAGTTTAAATCTTTTATTAATGGAGGAATTCACACTGCTCGGGTTTACCATGTGAGTCTTGGACGCTTATGGTGAACTGTGGTCTTCTTGTTTTGCTTTGTGTTTTTTTTTTGTGATGCATTAATGATTTTATTTTTTTAAACCTCTCCTGAGGATATTTTCCCTCCCATTGTTTTTAAGAGAGAGTAGAAGGGGGAGAGAGAGACACATTAATGTGAGAGAGACACATCTATTGGTTGCCTCCCACGCACACCCCGACGGGGCCAGGGATTGAGCCTGCAACCGAGGTTCGTGCCCTTGACTAGAATCAAACTTGAGATCCTTCAGTCCGCAAGCCGACACTCTAACCACTGAGCCAGGCCTGCTAGGGCTGGTCTTCTTGTTTTATCTGGTGACACAGGGCTCCCAGTGATCTCTGCTGCTTCTTTCTGTGAGGGAGTGGGAGGAGTTGGCTTCTTTATGCCTCTAGATGGGGAGAAAAGGGAGTGTCCAGCCCATGGGAACATGGGCTTCCTGAGTCAAGTGCTTGTGACAGGATCCCTCCTTGTGCAGTGGGTTGCTCAGCATTTCTGGGGGATGGTAGTCTCAAGTTCAGAAGGACAAAAAGGCTTTCTGGGCTGGGCTCCTGCTTACCGTCTGATCTCACTTGCTGGTGCCACCTTCTTATTTTAGTCTTTATTTTTGCTGCTTGAGGTAAGATAACTTGCTCAGTCAAAGCCATTTAATTATAAAAGCTTTATTATAACTCTGTTATGTCTGTGAGCTGGAAAATGCTAGGAATTAATAAAATTAAGGGATCACATGACTCCTTAAGAACTCTGGATCTTGACCTAAGTCGCTATGTCAATACTGACAGCTGTTGTTCAGAAGCAGAAAATAATTGGAGTAAACAGCTTTGCTGTTTAGATTTACAAACCATATTGCTAAATGAACAAGAAATACCAAATAGGACAAAGGTATAAAATCACAACAAATTCTTAATTTTTGATGTATTTAAATTTGTTAAATTTTATTCTCTCTCCAGCTCTTTGTTTCAGAACTGTGTCCCATAGCTTATATGAAAAATATTTTATTTTTAGTTTCTGTTTTCCACACTAATGCTTCTTTTACCCCAAACAGTATGTCTTCATATGCAACCGTTTACACCTCTTTAATTCAGAGACACATGATTTTTAGGAACTTGGCCCAGCCAGTTAAGAAATATTAGCATCTTGATCAGCTGAAATAAAGGCAGTTGATACTTCTTTATATGCAATAGTTACAAGGTGACCTTTTAGGAGCATTATATTTCCCTTAAAGTCTATTTTTTCTTTTTGTGACTTATTCTTATAAGATTGAAATGCAAGATGCTCTTAGTCACCAATTGTGGAAATGGCCGTGTACTAAGATAGGATTCAGGTACTTTATGCATATAATCTATTCAATCTTTTTGTTTTTTTAAATACGTTTTTATTGAGTTCAGAGAGAGGAAGGGAGAGGGTGAGAGATAGAAACATCAATGATGAGAGAGTCATTGATCGGCTGCCTCCTGCACACCCACTGCTGGGGATCAAGCCCAAAACCTGGGCATGTGCCCTGACCAGGATTTGAACTGCTATCTCCTGGATCCTAGGTCAGTGCTCAACCGCTGAGCCATGCCTGGCCAGGCTGATCTATTTAATCTTATAGAAACCCTCTGAAGTCTTTATTTCATAGATAAAGATGTTGAAGCAGTGAGAAATAGCATAACTAGTTAGAGATAAAACTTGAACCCACATCTGTCTGACTCAAAAACCTAAGTGCTGCTTCTGTTGCCTCACTTTTGAGTAGGATCAGAACATTGGGTAAGGCTCTTGATGAAATGTTTAGTATTTCACTTCAGGTGAAAAGTTTGGTGTTCTCCAAGGTCCTTCTATACTAAGAGTTTGTGATTAATCTAAATAAAATGAAACCTTACTGTTACATATATTTACTTCAAAATAAAACATAGTAACTGGACTCTTTTTTCCCTTCCAAATAGGTTGCTCACCTCTTACTCGTAGTAGACAAACCATGCTTTTAAAAAAATAGTGGGGAAAAAAACAATAATGAGAAGATAAAGATTTACAGTGAAGTATTAAGAGGACAGAGAGAATATACAAACAGTTTTCCAAAGAATCTTTTTGTTTGTTTGTTTTTCTGACCTCGCTCTCCAGGCTCTTCCTAGATTGCTTCTTACTTGTTTTGTTTCACTGGTCTGTTAATACAGACTGTCATTTTGGAGTCCCACTGGGCTTCTCCAAAAATACCTGTTTAAAAATTTCCCTTCACACCCTTTTCTCTCTTTCCGGTTGTTTCACTCTCATATGTTTCATGGTATGTTTATGGATGAAATCTGAAGATGAGTCAGATGCTACTTTTTGAATTTAAAATCTACACTTACGTTATTTCTTTTTAAAAAGTAGATTAGTTGTTAACCCAAATATACTTTTTCTTAGAATTACAGGTAGTAAGATAAATGGAAAACAAGAAAAAGGTTTTAATGCAAGAGTTTATAATAATACAAAAATTTCCAGTGAATTTAAAACCTGCCAAGTCTATTTATTAATTTAGTGATTCCTAAACTCACTATTTTCCAACATAAGGGTGCTGTTGAGTTCAGTTTTGTTCCGTGTGCTGTCAGGTAAGCATGCCATAAGAATCATTCTAGCTTTTAACCCTATTTGGTGTTGAATTTTTAGTTTGTATGTGGATACTGGTTGCAGAGGTAGGGGTGTGTGCGTGTGTTTGTAGATATATGTATATAAGTGTATCATGTGAGTGAAAGAGTTTTATAAGTTTATTATCTTTTTATATTTAAAGTTGACCTGAAAGAGGGCATTCAAACATCCGTAAGGTGAACTAGATGACTTTATTTTTCTTTTAACCTTGAAAGTCTGAGTCTTTTATTTAATCCAATTGAAATTCAAGGGATTGAGCTTTGAAGGATAAATATAGAATGTATAAGAGTTCAGTCAGAGATAGGGAAGCTGATTAAGGCCTAGTTTGGACAAGGCTATTCTGTTAGAGGGAGTACAGAAAATGAACAAGAGATTGGGATTACAGTAGGGAGGGTAATCTGTTTCAAGAGGGAATATCTCTAGGATTAAATAAATTAGACTAATGAAGTTCCTTAAAGCTCTTTATCAAAGGCTTGAAATGGAGGTAATAAATATTGGAGAATTGAGGATGGACTAAAAAGTTCAATATACTAAATTTCTTTTAATTGGTTACAGGAAGCGATGCCAATGAGGGGAGACCAAAAATTTGAAAAGTAGTAGACTTCAGGGTTTTACAAAGAGTCTTAAAGTGCTTGAAAGGCTGTCATTTCTTTTTTAATGTCCTATAGTTTCCTGAATACAGATCTTTTACCTCCTTGGTCAAGTTTATTCCTAAGTATCTTATTTTTTTTGTTTTTGCAATGGTAAACAGGATTTTTTTAAAGTTTCTCTTTCTGAGAGTTCATTATTAGTGTAGAAACATGCCATCAATTTCTGGATGTTAATTTTGCATCTTGCTACTTTGCTGAGTTCGTTTATTAAATCTAGTAGTTTTTTGGTGTAGTCTTTAGGGTTTTCTATGTACAATATCAGGCCATCTGCAAATAATGACAGTTTTACTTCCTCCTTTCCAATGTGGATGTTTTTATTTTTTCTTCTTACACTTCACAGAAGAATAACTCAAAATGGATTAAAGACTTAAATGTTAGGCTCGAAACCATAAAAATCCTAGAAGAAAACATAGGCAGTAAAATCTAGAACATTTCTTGTAGCAATATTTTTTCCGATATATCTCCTCTGGCAAGGGAAATCAGAAAAAACAAACCAATGGGACTACATTAAACTAAAGAGTTTTTGCACAGCAGAGGAAGCCATCAATAAAATGAAAAGACAAACCCACTGAATGGGAGAACATAGAACATATTTGCCAATAATACATCTGATAAAGGGTTAATATCCAAAATTTCTAAAGAACTTACAAAACTCAACACCAGAAAAACCCAAACAACCCAATTAAAAAATGGGCAAAAGACCTGAATAGACACTTTTCCAAAAAGGACATACAGATGGCCAGTAGACATGTGAAAGGATGTGCTATGTCACTCATCATCAGAAAGATGCAAATTAAAACCACAATGAAGTATCACCTCACACCTGTCAGAATGACTGTCACCAGTAAGTGCACAAAGGACAAGTATTGGAGAGGATGTGGAGGAAAGGGGACTCCTGTGCAATGCTGGTGGGAGTGCAGATTGGTGCAGCCTGTGGAAAGCAGGATGGAGTTTCCTCAAAAAATTAAAAATGGAACTGCCTCATGACCCAGGGATTCCACTTCTAGGAATTTATCCTAAGAAACCAAAACACTAATTTGAAAGAATATATGTAGCCCTATGTTCGTTGCAGTGTTATTTACAGTAGCCAAGATTTGGAAGCAGCGTAAGTGTCCATCAGTAGATGAGTGGATGAAAAAGCCATGGTCCATTTACACAGTGGAAGAAAATCATACCCTTTGGGACAGCATGGATGGACCTGGAGAACATTATGCTAAGTGAAATAAGCCAGGCAGAGAATACAAGTACGATATGGTTTCACTCATGTAGCATTTAATGAACAAACTGAACTACCAAGCAAAATAGAGACAGACTCATAGCCAGAGGGCAGGCACACAGCTCTGGTGGAGAGGGGGGTGAGTGGAGAGATCGAACAGAATAGAAAGAAAAAGAAAACTCACGGACATGGACAAAAGCGTGGTGATCCTGAGGGGTATGGGGGTTGGGTGGAGGTGAAAGAGGCAGAGAGGGAATAAACAGTGATGGAAAAAATAAAATAAAAATAAATTTAGGAAAAACTAAATAAAAATGTCTCAGACATACCTGGAAAAAAAAAAAAAAAAGGAAGAAGATAACTATTCCAAAACCTACTTTTAAGTGATCTCATAATAGGTCTAAATATAAGAGCACAGTATAATATTAACGTATATGGAATTGTGGTGTACACCTGAAACTATATGTTGGTTATACTGCAAAAAAAAACCAAGAAATGTGTGTGTTCCACAGCTCAGTTTTAGTCGGGTGCGGTGGTAGGCAAGGAGATTAATATTTTTTATTTGAATCTTTGTGCGCTGTTTTCCCCTCTCTTTTACCTTTGGACATTTGAAGCTTGTGCTAAATAAAAGAGTCGTTTTGAAAGAATTCCACTTTAGTTGAGGTATAACTGGCAGTTTTAGGTGGAATAGAATCTTTACGTGTTACATTTTCGATACTTGCGCGAGCTGACCTCCTCCAGCTCTGGTGCGAGGCGCTGGGTGAGGACGAGGGAAAGCAGGGACCGTGTTCGTTTAGATGATGAGGGTGCGCTCTGTGCCCGTTTCCCCACGCCAGCCTCTGTGGGTTGGTAGGCTTTTTACAGTTTACAAATGTGCTTATGTCAAATGAATGTTGACCAGAGACAGAAGCTGACCGCTGTGCTGGCTTTGTTTTGCAGTGGGACCTCCCCTCTTGCATGCCTGAACGCCATGCTGCACACAAACTCCCGAGGCGAAGAGGGCATCTTCTACAAGGTCCCGGGCAGAATGGGAGTGTATACTTTGAAGGTAAATGTTTTTCAAGTCATTTAAAAAGTAAATCGTGAAGTGACTACATATAAATAATATTTGTGTCATAGGGGACAGAATTGTGTTCTTGAAGAACTTATTTTCAGGAAGAGGTAATATTTTCAACTCTATATTAAAAATATTTTTTTTACTAATCTGTAACCATCTGTAGGTAAATCAGAGAAGAAAAGTCAGTTTATTGTTTATGATAATATTATCTTAAAAGGATGAAATGAAAATGTCTTCCAGAAACTTTTTCAAGAGCCTCACATTTGAATAATAATGAGTGTTGCCTCTCAAGGAGCTTACAGCCTTGATTCTTTATAGTACCATCTCATTTAATTCTTCATTGCAATGTAGAGTTATGGTTATTATGATTATGGAGAAAAGCCGAAGTTCAGAAGATTGGATTTTGTTGTTGGCCAAATAGTATCAGAATCAGAATCCACATCTGGCTGAATTCCCAAGCCCATGTTCTTTTTACCATAGCAGGCCTATTAGTAATATTTAATTCCTACACTGAGAAGGGTCCTTGACCTATCAGTATCCTTTCAGTTATAAATAGGAAAACCAACTCAAATGAGCTTGAGTAAAACAATTTATTAGATAACTGAAATTTCTAGGGAAACTCAGCCCTGATCCAGGAGCTCAAATGATGTTATTAGGATTGGTAACCATTGATAACAGGGTGTCTCCCTTTCTTTTGGCTTCATTCTCAGGCAGGCCCTCTGCTCATTGTACGTGATTTTGCCCCCATTCCCTACTCTGCCAGCTGTAAGTCTGGAGAGGATGGAGTCTCAGGAACTAAAGCAGGAGCTTTCAGTTAGTTTTGATTTGGCTTAATTAGTTTGGTTTGGCTCATGTGTACACACCTGAATGATTGCTGTTGCCAGATGTATTGATCTTCTTTTTGGGCACTCTTAGGTTCATGATTATCTTTGATATGAGGGTAAAGTTAAGCCCACTCAAGCCAGATGAATTCAGAAGAGGGATTGTTTCCCAAAGGAAATTTATCAGCAGAAGAATCAGTGCTTAGCATGTGATGACTGTGTCCATGTTTATGTGGGATTCTGTCCCCTTACCTTTTTAGCTTTGAGCTATAGTCATCACTATGCTCAGTGGTTGTATGTAGCCCACTAACATCAAAAAGATCTAATTTACCTATAATAGGTTCTTTTCATACACACTGTTGAACTTCCTGGGATTACAGGGCTGTAGTGCCACATGGAGTTTTCTGCGTTTCTTTTAGGCTTTAGCGTTCTAGATTTGTATTGTTAATGACATTTATTAAATGTGTACTCCATGCTGAACACCGTAGAGGCTATAAAGAAGGGTAAACTGTGATGTCTGAGCTCTTGAAGCTCACATGGTTATTGAAGTAATTGCACATTGACAAAATTTAACTGTGATAGAAAGTACTGTACTGTAAAGTACTCTGATGGTATAGAGAAAGATTAATAAAGGGATCTAGAAAGTTACTGTGTGTTTGGTTTTTTTGGTTTTTTTGTTTTAATTTTATTCTTGACAATACTACAGATTGTTTTGTTTTTTTAAACTTGTAAAACTTGAGTTGAACTTTGGCAGATAATAATGTGAAGAGGGCTTTCCAGGACAAGGGAATAGCTTAAGCAGAGGCACAGCTAGAAGGATTCCGAATGGATTTGAATGTAGAGTAAATTGGAGTGGTTCGACCACAATCTGTATGTGGGCTAGTGTGATAAGGAGTCGGGGGTGGGGGAAACGTTAATGATCAAACTGTAGGCTTTTGAAAACCTGACTGAGCAATTTTAGAGACAGAGAGAGAGAGAAAATAAAGGAGGAGGGTGTGAGCAAGAGAGAGCGAGCATGTGTGTGGAGGAGATGGCAGAGGTTTTTTAGGAGACGAGCATGATCAAATCCATATTTAGGAGATAAGTAGGATATGTTTAAGGGTAAAGCAGGAAAACTTGTCAAAAATATGGTTATGGTTGTTTGAAAGAGATAATGAGCCTGAAATACAAAAGTAGTAAAGGGATGAAGGCAAAGTACATTAGAGAAATAAAATATATACTATATGGAGTGAGTAAAAGAAGGAATTCTGGCTTTATCTTCTCCTAACTATGTAGTCTTCATCAAAATCCTAACCTCTCCTGCCTCAGTTTCCCTGTCTATAAGATAGGAATAAAAGTACCTACCTTAAAAGATTTGGGGCATGAGCAGTTGATCCTGGAGGGATCACAAGTTTAAGAACAGAAGTTAATTATATTTGTATTTAAAATACTTGTTGAACCTGCAGGTCAAGAGGGATGGCTGGCAACTAACTCTGTAAAAAGTTTTTGAAGGAAAGAATAGAGAAAGATGGGATATGTATTTTGATAAAGTGTGTAACACAAGGAATGGCACTAGGATATAAACAGAAGTGGAAAAAAACAGTTTCTTACTAGATCAGTTTACAAATGCTAGTTATAGGTAGCAGGGTCACATGTCAGAATTATTTTTATCTGATTAGAAAAATAAATTATGTGGGAAAATAAAAAATATATTGAGAGGGGAAAAACCATCTGTAATTTTATAACTTTTTATATGTGTATATTTCTTTATATATTTTTATACACTACATAAATTCAAAGTAGCTAATATTTATTGAGCTCTTATCATATGCCAGGCACTGTTTTTCATTTATTAACTCATTTAATTTCAGCATTACCTTTTAAGGTAGGTACTTTTATTCCTATCTTATAGACAGGGAAACTGAGGCAGGAGAGGTTAGGATTTTGATGAAGACTACATAGTTAGGAGAAGATAAAACCAGAATTCAAACCCAGAAAGTCTTAATTTCCTAGTTGTTGATCTTACAGCTGTCCTGTTAAATCTCTCACATACTATGCTGACACAGGTATCCTTTCTGACTAACATTCTCACAACCCAGTGCAGAAACCAAAGATGCATGTGATTTTAAAAAAAGACAGATTTCTTTTGTACTTGATTCTTCCTAATTATTAACGAATATTTAGGAACCGATTAGATTCAAATAATGGACTATCTTTTGCTACCCAGACTCTTGATTGAATTTGCAATACATAATGGTACTAATATACACACAAATATTTATCTATATATTATATATATTACATGGCTGGTGGATGTACATACACTTTACAAAATTTTTATTATATAGTGTGTGTTTTTTTTTATCCTGAGCATATAATCATTTACCTGACTTATATATATCAAGTTCTTTTCTTTTTTTCTTTTTTTTTTAAAATATATTTTTTATTGATTTCACCGAGAGGAAAGGAGAGGGAGAGAGAGAAAGAAACATCAATGATGAGAGAGTCATTGATCGGCTGCAGCCCACAACTCGGGCATGTGCCCTGACTGGGAATCGAACCCTGATCACCTGGATCCTAGGTCGATGCTTAACCACTGAGCCACGCCCGGCCGGGCTCAAGTTCTTTTCTAACTTAAGTCTCTGTGTTGTGCCTGTATATGATTGTCATGTAAAATTTTTACCTTTGGATAGATTGAAACATTAGCTAATTTGACCCAAAGAAGAGAGATGACAGGAATTCAGAAAACATTGTTGGTTCTGCTGTTGAATCCTGTAATAATAAAAATTAATCAGCACAGTTAAGTTGCAACAATGCATATCAGAGACTTAATTACTGTTTGCTGAAATGGTAATGATTAATCCTAATTGGATGCCTACATTTTCAGAAAGATGTGCCGGATGGGGTGAAAGAGCTATCAGAAGGTTCAGAAGAAAGCAGTGATGGTCAGTCAGATTCCCAGAGTTCTGAGAACAGCAGCAGCAGCAGTGATGGTGGCAGCAACAAGGAGGGAAAAAAGAACAGGTGGAAAAGGAAAGGTAAATCCACCTGATCCCTCAATAAAGTACTGAACACTAGGACAGATCCCCTTGTTAGTAGGTCCTCTTTTTTCAGACCCCAGGTCAGTTAGTCTCCTTCCCTTACCCTTTAGATCAGTACTGTCCAATAGAATTCCCTGCTCTCATGGAAGGATTCTGTATCTCTGCCGACCACCCCAACAAAGTAGCCACTAGCTGCATGTGTCTATTGAGCACTTGAAATACAGCAAGTGTGACCAAGGAACTCAATTTAAAATTTTATTTTTACTAAAATTTCAGTAGCCTCTTCTGGCTAGTGGCTACCACATTGGACATCATGGCTCTTGGCCGTCTATAGCCTTTTTTAGGATGCTCTGATTTTACTTGCCCCTTTAATCCTCTCTTCTAAAATTTGAGCACTTATACTCTAACAGCTCTCTCCCTACTAGGAAAAGAATGCTTTTATTTCTATTAGCAAAGACTAAATTCAGTCTGCTGGTCTTTGCTCTCATCCTCTGCTTGGTGTCTGCTTCATAACGTACTCAAAAACTTTCTTTAAAGAATAATGTCTTTGTTGCTATAGCTTCCCTGGGATGGATTTTCCACTTAAGGATACATTTTATTACCTTTTTTTGCTAATTTACCTGTCAGAGCTTCTTGTCAGAGTCTTGAGGAGAGAAAGTTGTTTTTTTTTACCAAAATATTAAATTCAGCTATGCACGGCAAGGCAGATTTTAAGCCAATTTATGACTATTCCTTTATAAGGACTGATACAAGGATTTTTTACTCTGGACTGATTTTCCAGAGCAAAATAGACATCCAAGAGTTTCCCTAGCTTGGATATCTTATTAGGTTTGAGTTTTAGGTGAACTGTCTTTGTATCTAGAAACTAGAGTTATGTTTTTTAGACTGCTTGACTCATTAATTTTAAGTGCCTTTAGAAGTTTTGATGTTGAACTGTATTAGAAAAATAGTCTTATTTATTAATATCCCTGTGTTAATGTGTGTGCTACTTCAGGAGAGTTGAGATAATTGGTGGCATCATGTGGGTTCTCTGGTACAGCTACTACATGACCAATTTGGGAAAATTTTGTGATTGTGAGGTATTTAGCTGTAAGATCACAACCACTTGGAGAGCAACCCAGACCTCAAATGTTGGGAATGAATGGAATAAAGATGAGACAAAGCCAGGACCTGTGACCAATATTCTGATACATGTTTTTAAAGCAATCCCTGTCAATAGTGAAAGGAGGCGTAGTCCAGGCCTATGTTCCTTGTGCACTAAGGACCTTTTTAGGAAGGGTAGAGCTGAACGTATTAAAAGCTCTGTCTCTCCTCTGTGTTTCCCCAGTTTCAACTTTTCAAGTTTGGAAATTGCTGATCTAAGATTAGGAACCAAGCCCAGTCATCAGGCTAGAGACACAATGAGCAAGATTCATAATGTCTGGATGTGGCTGGAAACAGGGAAATCAGTGTTAAAGAAGGCCCAACTAATAAACTGGAAGCCAAATCATGGTCTTGGAGGTCTTGACTTTTCAGTAGCCACACATGCTGCAGTAGCTGTTTTGAGTAGTCACTGTACATGGTTGTTAAAGGCTGTGTCTAAGAATTTAAGGTAAATGTATTATGATACAGGAAGAACTAAGAAATAACAATAGAACCCATTGTCAGAAGCTTATGAGGTAGATTAAAATAGCATGACCTTGCCCAATATTCAGCATAGTAATAGAAGATACTAACAGCAAGGTAATGGCAAAACAAAAATTGCGGTTCAGATAAATTGTTTTGAACTGCCTTTGATTCATTCCTTTTCTAGAACTTGTCAAATATTGAATATTTATCCTTGATTTACATTACAATAAAATGTTCCAGCAAGATCTTTTCTGAGTGTGGGTAGTCTAAACTGAGAGTAGAATGGGCTGTATGTAGCGTTTGGAAGGTGGAGGTGGGAGGGGCACACGATGTCATATAGAACTCATGTTTACTCTAGCAGCTCCGATATTCTTAAGAAATGGATAAGTGCCGAGCTACCAATAATGAAGAATGATTTAGTCTTTCATTCATGTGTCATACATGTGGCGTAAATATGTACATTTTTAGGTACATATTATATATTTGTGAATGTCCAGTGCAAGTTAAAATGGAAAACTTGTAGTTACCAGTGATAGTAGCATGGAGCAAGTAGTTCTAAATCAATTGCAATAATTAATAAAGGTAAAGCAAACTAATTGTGCCTATTCTTTTTTCTTATTTAGGGCTTTTACTCTCAGTCTGACATCACTTTATTTCAAATGCATTGTAGGACAGGAAGAACATTGAGATAGTATCAAAACCCACTTCCTTTTATGTACAAAAATAAAGAGCTCTGACAGCAAAACTGATACTTCTAGTTGAAAATTGATAGAAACTCTCTTGATATAGTTGTACCTTTCAGCCAGATAGGAATAGAGAACAGAACTTTGAAATTCAGCCCAATATTAAAACTAGTTTATTGATTTCCGTGTAAAGTGGAAGAACTTAGAAGCTTGTAGTTTTGGTTTTTAATTTTCAGACAGGAAACAATGTTCAGAGAAGAGCTTTATGGAATTCCAAGCCAAGGTAAGGTGGAAGGACTCCAGAAAAATAATTAAAATCAACTTTTTCTGTTGCTGTTTTGGTAGAATCAAAGCTAAGTAAGTCTCTGCCTTTTCCCAAAAATAAAATACAAATATTGCAGCATGAAGCAACTGCAGAAGTATTATTTTTATCTTCTAATAAAGAAAAGCTTGTTAGATTTTGGTCTGCTTTTAAAGTATCTTAAGAAAGAAATTATGTGAAATATACCTTTTCACCTATAAGGAATTACTAATTCTTTCCAGGAGCATGACCTAATGTTAATTTTACTGCTTGTTCAGAACTACTTTAAATCAGGAATTTGATATTATATATTGTGTTTTTAGTTAAAATACCATAGGCCTCCCTGTCTTCTAACATCATTTATATTTATGTTAAGATAGCTGAACGGGGATGATTATATATAGAAATACCTCCTTTAAAAAGTATACAGGGAAGAAGAACTCCTTTGGGCAAAGTTAACTTATGTAGGGAGAGAACTTTGGGAGAGATGTTCTCTTTCTCCTCATGGGTGGATGGATGGTGGCTGAGTTGGAGGTTTTAGCTCTGTCATGAATTAAAGATGGCTACACTGTTAGGACTTGGATAGTTAGGGTACCCAGAAGGAAAGGAAGGTGTTCAGGTGTGGCCTCTCTCTCTTTGATTACTGGACTGTTTGAATATCATCAGGAACCAGTCTGCTTAGTTTGGAGTAGACTACGCTTGCAATGGGAAGAAGGGGCTTAGAACTAAAACATTTGTTACTTCTGGAAATGCAGTTCCTCTATAAAGAAAGACTATCGTGGAAATAAGAACTCTTCCCTTCATAGAAGGATTACTGTTTTTGAAGATTAAAACAGTTTTGGTTGGGGAGGGGGAAGGGGTGGCTTGGAGCAGGTCATTGGGGAGAAAAAGGGACATCTGTGATATTTTAAACAAAAATAAAATTTTTTAAAAAGTGGCAACAACAAAAAAAATTAATTAAAAAAATAATAAAACAGTTTTGGAAGCTTCAGCTGTTATCATTGTTTCAACTGTTAATCCTTCAGCTATATAAAGCTACATTTTAATTTTTATATTACTGCATTATTTCTGATAATCTCTCTAACATTTCAGAGGGGCCCATTGAATATTTTCAGGAGAATATAAAGTATTGTCAGAGATTATTTACTAAAGCTTTAAATTCAGATGTATCTAATATTCTTTTGATGATGTTCAGTATAATAACTATCCATTGAAATGAGAAATTCTCAATGCTATGATATGTCTGAAAAGTAGTATCTCCTGAACATATACTCAGTGAGTGGTAATAAATATCCAACAACCTGAAACTACTTCAGTAAGTTATGCAAAACTGGCTTTAATGAGCACCAAGTTTTCAAACTTGTTTTGAATGTTTTCCTGAAAACACTTATTTAATTTTAAAGTTTTCTCCACTAGGTTGCTCTTTTTTTTTTTTTTTTGAGTGACTTTTTTTGTTTTTTAAAATTAAATAAGTAACAACTGATCTTTTGACCAGAATTTGTTAATCTTGTGTCTGTATGTTTATGTAAAAGCAAGCATTTTGTTTCTAATCAGATTCTAAGTAAGTTTTTAAATGAGTGCTTTTAATCCATTTAGCAGTTCACGTTGGAGGACCAGTAGATCAGGATATAATCTTGAGAGGTATTGTTCAGGCCATTATTTATTGACAAAAACAAAGAAATATCTCTATTTAAACTACTTGCTACATTCAGTTTTTTCCCCTTATGTACAACTTGTCAGGTATTTGGGAGACCAGTTTGAATAAGGTGTGCGTTCCACCCATATCTAGAGGTATAGAAAAAGAAGCAGATAATTAGCAAATAACTTAATAAATGACATGTGTTTATGTTTATCATATTATGACAGAATTACAGAAGAAAGTAATTTTACCTGGGTTAGTAAATATTGTATGAGATATAGAAAAATTTAATACACTATCCTTCCCTTGAGAGTATAATTTCTAGTGAAGATAGGACATGATGGATAGAAAAAATATATAAAGGCAAAAGGTAGAAGTGTGTGCACAGTGTTTTCAGGAAACCATAGGAAGAAAAGTTTGGCTAGAAGGGGATTTGTGGGGAAAAAAGAAAAGGGAAGAAGTTAGGATCAGACTGTTAATCTTACTGCTACTCTCCATTACTTATAGGTTGTAGGTGTACATAAAGTAATTTCTTAGGAAAACTAAGATATGTAGTATGGGTCAGAGAATGGCAACACTGCTGACTCACATTTTCATAGCCACACACCAAGAGGAACAAGATGTTTTATAGCCCTTTATCAGTTTTACCCTCTTGTCCATTTAGTGTCTGAGTTAATATGCTAGCTTCTTTGATTTGTTTTATATTAGTTCAGTTTATTTCTAATCATTGGTATATAGGTTGAAATAATTCATTTCCATTCTACTCTCAATTCTCTTACTTTACCTCATTTTATTGGGCTTCATTGTGCTTCACAGATACTGTGTTTTTTACAAATTGAACGTTTGTGACAACCCTGTGTCAAGCAAGCCCGTCAGCGCCATTTTCCCCACAGCATTTGCTTTCTGTGTCACATTTTGGTAATACTCACAATATTTCAGACTTTTTCGTTATTACTATATTTGTTATGGTAATCTGTGATGTTACTATTGTAACTGTTTTGGGGCACCATGAACTTTGTCCATGTAAGATGGTGAACTTAACCGATTCATGTTGTGTGTGTTCTGACTGCTCCACCAACTGGCCATCCCTCATTTCTCTTTCTCTTCTTGGGCTTCCCTATCCCCTAAGACACAATAATATTGAAATTAGGCCAATTAATAACCCTACAGTAGCCTTTAAGTGTTCAAGTGAAAAGTCTCATGTCTCTCACTTTAAATAAACAACTAGAAATACTAAGCTTAATGAGGAATGCATGCCCAAAGCTGAGATAAGTCAAAAGCTAGGTCTCTTGCACCAAAAACGTAGGCAGATTTGTGAATGCAAAGGAAAAGTTCCTGAAGGAAATTAAGAGTGCTACCCTAGTGAACACACAGATAAGAAAGTAGAACAGCCTTATTGCAGATACGGAGAAAGTTACAGTGACCTGGATGGAAGATCAAAACAGACACAACATTTTTATCAGCCAGAGCCCAATCCAGAGCAAGACCCCAACTCTCTTTAATTCTATGAAGTCTGAGAGAGGTGAGGAAGCTGCAGAAAAAAAGTTTGAAGGTAGCAGACTTTGGTTCATGATGTTTAAGAAAAGAAGCCGTTTTTGTAACATAAAAGTGCAAGGTGAAACAGCAAGTGCTCTTGAAGAAGCTATAGCAAGTTATCCAGAAGATCTAGGTTAAGGTAATTAATGTAGGTGGCTACACTAGACAAAAGATTTTCAGTGTTAACAAAACAGCCTTATATTGAAAGAAGATGCCGTCTAGGACTTTCATAGCTAGAGAGGAGAAGTCAGTGCCTGTCTTCAAAGGACAAGCTGACTCTCTTGTTAGGGGCTAATGCAGCTGATGACTTTAAATGGAAGCCAGTGCTCATTTATCATTTCCAAAAATTCAGGGCCCTTAATAATTATGCTAAATCTGCTCTGCCTGTGCTCTATAAATGGAACAACAGAGCCTTATGACAGCACACCTGTTTACAACATAGTTTATTGAGAATTTTAAGCCCACTGTTGAGACCTACTGCTCAGTAAAAGATTCTTTCAAAATATGACTGCTCATTGACAATACACCTGGTCATCCAAGCACTCTGATGGAGATAGATGTACAAGGAGAATAATATTTTCATGCCTGCTAACACAACATTCTTTCTGCACTCCATGTATCAGGGAGTAATTTTGACTTTCAAGTCTTATTACTTAAGAAATACAATTTTCATAAGGTTATAGCTGACATAGTGATTCTCTGATGGATCTGGACGAAGTAAATGGAAAATCTAAAAAGGATTCACCATTCCTGATGCTATTAAGAACATTCGTAATATCTGGAAAGAGGTAAAATTATCAACATTTACAGGATTGTGGAAGAAGTTAATTCCAACCCTCATGTATAATTTTGAGGGGTTCAAGACCTCAGTGGAAGAAGTAATTGCAGATGTGGTGGAAATAGCAAGAGAACTAGTATTAGAAGTGAAGCCTGAAGATGTTATTGAACTGCTGTAATCTCTTGATAAAACTTTATTGGATGAGGATTCTTCCTGTGGATGATCAGAGAAAATAGTTTCTTGAGATGGAATCCACTCCTGGTGGAAATGCTGTGAAGATTGTTGAAATGACCACAAAGGACTTAGCATGTTACATAAACTTAGTTGCTAAAGCAGAAACAGGGTTTGAGAGGATTGACTTCAATTTTGAAAGAAGTTCTGTGGGTAAAATGCTGTCAAATGATATTATATGCTACAGAGAAATCGTTCATGACAGGAAGAATCACTTGATACAGCAAACTTCACTGTTGTCTTATTTTAAGAAGTTACCACAGTCACGCCACCCTTCAGCAGCCACCATTCTGATCATTCAGCAGCCATCGAGACTGAAGCAAAACCCTCCGCCAGCAAAAAGATTACAACTTGCTGAAGACTCGGATGATTGTTAGCATTTTTAGCAATAAAGTATTATTAAATTAAGGCATATACACTTCTTTTAAAAAAAAGCTAATGTCAATAATAATCTTAAATATAAATGGATTAAACATTCCAAAGGACGTAAGGTATCCAAATGGATAAGAAAACAAGCCCCAAATATATGCTGTCTCCAAGAGACCCACCTCAGAACCAAAGGCACACAGGCCAAAGGAAAAAAACCCAACTTCTAGAGGACCTTAAAGGAGAGATTGACAGCAATACAGTCACGGTAGACTTTAACACCCCACTGATTTTACTGGATAGATCTTCCAGACAAAAAATCAACAAGGAAACAGTGATTCTAAATGACACACAGATCAGATGGATTTAATTGACATTTACAGAACATTTCACCCCAAAGCTGCAGAATAGGCATTCTCCTTAAATGCACATGGGACATTCTCAAAGACAGGCCACATGTTAGGACACAAAACAAGTCTCTACAAGTTCAAGAAGATTGAAATCATATCAGACATCTTCTCGGACATTTATACCATGGAATACTGTGCCGCTATAAAAACGAAGGATCCCTTACCCTTTGAAGACAGCATGGTGGGACCTGGAGAGTATTACGCTAAGTGAAATAAGCCAGTCAGAGAAAGACAAGTATCACATGGTCTTACTCATATGTGGAATCTAATGAACAAAATAAATCTGTAAACAAAATAGATCCAGAGACACAGAAGCATGGAACAGACTGAGGAATCTCAGAGGGAAGGCAGGGGTGGATGGGTAGGTGGGGAGAGATTAACCTAAGAACTTATATGCATATATACATAACCCATGGACACAGAGAATAGTGTGGTGAAGGCCTGCCTGGGAGGAGGAGTGCAGTGGGGAGGGGATCAATGGAGGGGAGAAGGGGAACATTTGTATTCCTTTCAACAATAAAGATAAATTTAAAATTAAAAAATAAATTTAAAAAATGCTAACGTGCACTTGATAGACCACAGTATAGTATAAACATACTCTTATATGCACTGGGAAACCAAAAAATTTGTGCAACTCACTTTAATGTGGTGGTCTGAAACTGAACCTGCAATATTCCCAAGATATGCCTGTATAGCATTATGTTAGAGGTGTTTATCTCAACACAAGTAAGCAAGAAAAAGCAGTTGGAAAGTAAGTAACAAGAGAAGGAAAAACTACCTCTGTGTGCAGATGATGTGATATCTGACAAACTCGAAAATTTTTATATCAGTGGAGATAAAAATTGGTAACAGAATTTAGTAAAATAGCTGGATATGATACCATTGTGATTAACTAGTTAATAATAGGAAAGTAGCAAAAGGAAGGCCAGACATTATAATCATGTTATTTGGAAGTTTCAACTTTGCTCTCCCCAGGGAACCACTGGTCTATTCCCTGAAAAATATGCTGTCCAACAGGCTCTAGAATCTTTCCTAATTTTATCTAATTTGGTGACTAATGGTTTATATTCTGCTTCCTGCTGCTTCAATCAGTTCTGTTGAAAAATTAAAGACCAAAGTGTAATGAATACTAACACCCATCCCTTCCCCATCCTGTCATCCTTCACTAGAGCTTTCTGAGGAAATAAACTGGAAAGGGAGGCTGTTTGCCGTAGCGCTCCAAAAAGAAGACCCTTCCCAAAAGTGTTTCAGATCTTAATACAGGTAGCAGAATGTGATTGGGGAAGGAATGGTGCGTGATAGCAACTCTGATAACAAATTTTTCATTGTCATTTCCACCCCTAGTATCATCTAGACTGTCACAGCCATCCTCTCCCCAGTCAGGCTGCCCATCACCCACCATTCCAGCAGGTAAAGTCATTTCTCCATCGCAGAAGCACAGCAAGAAGGCACTAAAGCAGGTAATCATGCTAGTCTCTGTTGTTTGTCAGAAGTATAATCTCCTACATTAAAAATACATGACTCTGGCAGGCAATGAAAGTTTCTTGAAAGGACATTATGTCCTTTTAAGGAGAAATTTCATGCTGTTTCCCAATTTGGATTTAATAATTTATGCATCTCTGTGTCATAGGTTTGTGGTAGATACTGTTTTTATCACACTTTATTTGTTCCTAATTTGCTAAGAGTTTTTGTGTGTGTGTGTGTATTCATTTTTTAAATTATGAATAGGTGTTAAATTTTTCAGGTTTGTTTTCTTCAGCATTTATTGAGATAATCAGGTAGTTTTTTTCCTTAAATTTAGTAACATACAGAATTGCACAACTAGATTTTTAAATGTTAATCTGTACTTAACTCTCTAAAATAAACTATATGTTTGTTATATATTTTTAAATATGTTGTGGAATTTTCTTTTTTAAGATTTTAGCTTGGATTTTGCTGAGGTTTTTTGTTTGTTTGTTTGTTTTTGGTACTATCCACGAACAGTTTTGGAACCAGGATTGTTCTAGCATCCTAAACTAAATTGTGTAGCTCTCTATACAGGGTGTCCCAAAAAGTTCCATTCCTGGTCAGGGCCCATGCCCAGGTTGCTGGCTTGATCCTAGGTAGGGAGAGTGCAGGAGCAAGTAATCAATGATGTTTCTCCCTTATCCATGTTTCTATCTCTCTTTCCCTCTCCCTTCTTCTCTAAAAATCAATAAAAACATATTTTAAAAAAGAAAATTCTGTAAATCTCATCTTTTAAAATTGTTTTCCTAGCATTTCAGTTTTATCTACTTTTACTGGTCTCTTGATTTTCTGCTGCTTTAGCTAAATTTGGAAATTTATTTTTCTTAGTGATCCGTTTCACTTGATTTTTTTCAAATATTGGTATAAAGTTGTATATAGTATTCTTCTATCTCTCTTTTTTGTTCTTTAGTGTTTTTCCTTTATAATGTATCTTCTTTTTCCCCAATGCTAGTTGCCAATGATCTACCTATTTTATTGGACTTTTTAAAGAACTAACCTGATTTTTTGAAATGCAAATGATCAGTAAATATAAATTCACTAGTAGTTAAGGGAGCATTAAAATAGTCTACTACTTTTATCCTCAGATTGGTATAAATCTTAATTATCTTCATTGTCAAGTGTGTGGGAAAATGGCTATTGTGTTTTGTCAGTAGAATATAAATTATAGTTACTTAGGAGAGAGATTTTGTAGCATTATTAAAATTTTATTTTTTAAATACGTTTTTATTTAATTTAGAGAGAGAGAGGAAGGGAGAGGGATAGAGAGAAACATCGATGAGACAAAGAAACATCAATTGGCTGCCTCCTGCACAACCTGGGAATGTGCCCTTACCTGGTAATCGAACCTGCAATCTCTTGGTGCATAGGACAACGCTCAACCGAGCCACACTGGCCAGGGCCTATTTATTGAAATTTTAAATGCACACACACCATAACTAAGCAGTTGAACATTTTGGAACTTACGTTAGAAAAATATGTACGTATATAAACACAAAGAAAAATATTTCGTTAAAGTTTGTAATAGCAAAAACTTGCATGCTCTTTACCACTTAAGTTGTTTACTTTTTGTTATTACTAAAACACTGATTTGTTTTGTTTCTTATAGTCAGTTTTCTCTTTATAGGCTCTAAAACAGCAACAGCAGAAGAAACAACAGCAGCAATGTAGGCCAAGCATGTCCATCTCCTCCAATCAGCATCTCTCTCTGAAAACTGTCAAAGCAGCCAGTGACTCTGTAACTGCTAAATCTGGTAGGTGGGGGAGGGTGTCTATTCAATGGAAGTTTCTTTATTTTTATTTTTTTATTTTAATTAAATTTATTGGGGTGACATTGGTTAATAAAATTATATAGGTTTCAGGAGTACAATTCGATAATACATCATCTACGTATTGTATCATGTGTTCACCACCCCAAGTCAAGTCTCCTTCTGTCACCATTTATCTCCCCTTTACCTTCTCCTACCTTCCCCCATTCCCTTTCCCTCTGGTATCATCATACTGTTGTCTATGAGGGGCTTTTTGTTTGTTTTGTTTTTGTTGTTTTTGCTTCCTTCATCAATGGAAGTTTCTTTTTCTGGTAGTTTGTGTTGTTTTTCTAATTTGTATACTGCATTTATTTTTAAATTATTGTATTTATTTACATAATCCTTGTATTGCCAAATCATTGATTTAAATGGTTTCAGGTTAAATGGGAAATTTATGCAAAATATTCATGCAGTTATTTAAAAATACATCAGTGGGATTTGTATGTTAGAATGAAATCTATAACCAACTTAACTTCCAAGATGTCTTAATAATATTTGGAACCCTCTAATCTGTAACCTTAGAAAACTGATGTTTTCAAAAGATACTCAAACTAAACTCTTCACAAATTATCTCTTTTAAAAATAAAAGATTTTACTAAGAATACATGCAACCTTTGAATTTCCATTGGACATATCTACAGGCCTTTAGATTTGTTGTTGCTTATTTTGTTTTTAATCTAAACTCATCTGGATATAGACTTTGTGTTTTATTACACAATTCGGTTTGATGCCAGCTGATTATATGTGCCTGCGAGATTTAAACTGTGTCTTGCAGAACTTTGCATTATGTTGGGGAGGAAATTTACCACCAGAAGCCAGTAATGTGCTGAGAAGAAGGAGGGATTTTACGTTCTTTTTGGGGCTTAATCCTCAGACTCAAAACACATTTGCAAGGTCACATTGCCTCATACATAACTACTTTTAGTTAGTGTTGAATGATTTAATTCTTTGATAACGGATTTCTATCTATAACCTTAATGTCACCAGTCTGTTATATATTTTTCCCCTAGCAGTATGGGAAGGAAAGCAATCTGATGGACAGTCAAGCAGCTCCCAGAACTCAAACTCTAGCTTTTCTTCTTCAGTTAAAGTGGAAAATCCTTTGCTAGGCTTGGGGAAGAAGTCATTCCAAAGGTCTGACAGACTTCACACAAGTAAGTTAATTTGCAAGGACTTCATTTCTTTGTAAATTATTTTTTTTGGCAACTTAATTTATCAGCCTAGTGTCTGAAATTCATTAGCTGTCTGGCGTAATTGTTACTTCCTCTTCACCTGTGAGGTCTTGACCATCTACATGTTCCTCCTGACCTGCCCTTACCAAACTTTATTCAGCATAAGGTCTGTTATTAGGCCATTTTGTGGTTTATTTCTTTTTCTGATCATAGGTTGCTTTGGCATTATTTACATTTAATTTCTTCTTGTTTTTTCTGTCCTCACTTGAGGATAATTTTTCCATTGCTTTTCAGAGAGAGTGGAAGGGGGGGAGAGAAAGAGAGAGAGAGAGAGAGAAAGAGAAAGAAATATCGATGTGAGAGAGACACATCAATTGGCTGTCTCCCACTCACGTGCTCGCCGGGGCCGGGGATAAAGCCTGCAACTGAGGTACATGCCCTTGGCCAGAATCGAAACCTGGGACCCTTCAATCCTCAGGCCGACGCTCTAACTACTGAGACAAACTGGCTAGGGCTACATTTTATTTCTAACTATACAGAAAGGGCTTATAATTAAACATGACAAACTGAACATTTTTTTCCTGCTCCCTCTGAATCCCACAAAAATGAGAATATGGAAATAAAAAAGCTTAAATCCATAAGGGTGAAAGAAACAAGTAGCCAGCAGATGGGCAGGCAGTGGCAATACTTTTTTTTTTTTAACCCTCACCCAAAGATATTTTTTCCATTGCTTTTCAGAGAGAGTGGAAGGGGGAGAGAGAGGGGGAGAAGGGGAGAGAGGGAAAGAGAGAGAGAAAGAAACATTGATATGAGAGAGACACATTGATTGGTTGCCTCCCACATGCCCCTGACTGGGGTTGCCGATTGAGCCTGCAACTGAGGTACGTGCCCTTGACCGGAATCAAGCCTGGGACTCTTTAGTCCACAGGCCCACGCTTTAACTACTGAGTCAAACCGGCTAGGCCACATGCCAATGTTTAAAATAGTGCCTGGTGCTTAGAAGGCCCTATATTAAGTGTTTACTACTGCTGTTATTTATCGTTGTTGTTATTACTACTAATATTACTTTAAATTTACTGAGATATGCCCTTGCCAGTGTGGCTTGGTTGGAGTGTCAACCCGTATACTGAAAGGTTGTGGGTTCAGTTCTGGGTCAGGGCACATACCTAGGTTTTGGGTTCAGTCACTGGTTGGGGCATGTATGGAAGGCAACCAATTGATGTTCTCTCTCACATCGATGTTTCTCTCTGCCCCCCGCCCCAGAATTCTGTGTTTATTGGAATAAGCATGTCAGTCTGAAAAGTAGCTCAGCTTTTTTTCCTCGTCTTTTTAGGGGCTGCTTTTATTACACTTGATTTATTAATAATTGAGAGAGATGTGTTGAAATGTCCTATCTTAATGGTGGCTTTGTCCAGTTCTCCCTGTTGTTCTATCAGTTTTTATTTCACATACTTTGAAGCTGTCTTTTTTAAAAAAAAATATATGTCTTTATTGATTTCAGAGAGAGGAAGGGAGAGGGAGAGAGAGAGATAGAAACATCAATGATGAGAGAGTCATTGATCCCCGCACACCCCCGACTGGGGATCAAGCCCGCAACCCGGGCATGTGCCCTGATCAGGAATCGAACCCCGATCGCCTGGATCCTAGGTCGATGCTTAACCGCTGAGCCACGCCCAGCCGGGCATTAAAGCTGTCTTATATTAGATATCTTCATGTTTAAAATCCCCCTGGTGGATTGAACCCTTTATCGTTATCATTATTTATTTACCTGATCAATCATTGATTAGGTTTTTTACTTAAAGTGTCTTCTGTTTGATGTTAATGAAGGTACACAAGCTTTCCTATAGTTAGTTTTTCCCTGCTGTGTCTTTACTTTGTTCATTTCTGTGTTCTTGTGCTTTATGTATTATCCCTTTACAGAACATATAGCTAGCTGAATTTTTAAATTTTTATTTCAATATGACAATCTCATTTATTCAGTGAGTTTTATCCATTTACATTTATTGTAATTGCTAATCTATTTGGACTAGTTTCTACGTCTTATTTGTTGATTTTTGTCCTGCTTCTGTTTTTCTTGTTTTCTTTTTTTAATTAAAGGTTTTGGGGGGCTTTACTGAGCTTTTTGGTATGTTGTCTGTCTTAATTCCCTTATATTCCTCTTTCTCTCTTCTGAGTTTAGTATACATTCTATTCCTATTCTTTTAGTGGTGATTTTTTTTTTTTTTTTAAATATATATTGATTTCAGAGAGAGAGGGAGGGAGGGGGAGAGAGAGAGAGAAACATCAATGGTGAGAGAATTGTCATTGGTTGGCTGCCTCCTGCACACCCCCTGCTGGGAATCAAGCCAGAAACCCGGGCATGTGCCCTGACTAGGAATTGAACCTCGATCTCCTGGATCCTAGGTCAATGCTCGACTGCTGAGCCACACCCTGCTGGGCTTTTAGTGGTGATTTAGATGGTACCATGTATGTTTAATTCTTTAAAATAACCATTCCTCTCCCCCTGTCTTATTGAGGTATAATTTACATGTAACATTATATTAGTTTTAGGTGTACATCATGACGATCTGATATATTTATGTATTGGGAAATGCTCAACACAATAAGTTTAGGTAACATCCATAACCTAACTCAGACAAATTTTTTTCCTTGTGATGTGAACTTTTAAGAACTTTTGCTACTCTGTTAGCAAAAAAGTAACCATCTAGGATCTTTAGGTTTGTAGTTTTCATCAGTTCAGATAAATGTATTACTGTCAATTCTTTAAATGTTGCCTTTTTCCCATTCTCTTCATTTTCTCCTTCTGGTATTCAATCAAGCTTTTATTAGACCTCATTCTATCAGTCATGTTTCTGCTAAAGCTCTCAAAATATTTAATCTTATCTGTCTGTCTTATATTCTGGGTAAATTGTTTGGCTATATATTTTAGGTTATAATCCCCCCCTTTAACAGTGTCTAAACTGCTCTTTAATCGAGTCATAGTATTTGATTTCAATAATATTTATTCTAATTTGTGGAAGTCTCGTTTATTTTTTAAATCTTTGTGCTTATTCCTAATTATCCTCATCTTTACAATTACATCTTTTAGTTTTTAAGTCATTTTATATATAGCTATTCTATATTCTATATATGTGACAGTTTCAGTGATAGCAGTAGTTTAGGCTGTAATCTTTCCTTTCTGGTTTTTGTTGACCCTGTCATAGTGGCATACCTTCTGGTGTGTCAAGGTAATCTTTGTGAGGTAGTGCTGGATTTTAATTTGTAAGAATCCTATGGGCCTAATTTAAGGGAAATCCTTTCCTTTTAAGAGAGATTACTTTTGCTTGTACTTAGTCCAGAAGCCAGAGGTTACCCACATCCAGGGTTGTGTAACTTTGTGCAGGTATTTCTAAATGTAGAATTTCTGTATCCTAGATTACTATGCATATTAAAATTTTGTTGTATATTGCTAAATTTTCTCCTAAGAAGATTCTTATTTTTTAAAAATATATTTTTATTGATTTCAGAGAGAGGAAGGGAGAGAGAGAAACATCAATGATGAGAGTCATTGATCGGCTGCCTCCTGCACACCCCCTGCTGGGGATTGAGCCTGCAACCCCAGCATGTGCCCTGGCTGGGAATCGAACCTCAGTCCCCTGGAACATAGGTCGATGCTCAACTGCTGCGCCATGCCGGCCAGGCTAAGAAGATTATTTTAATTTTAGCACCACCAGCAGTATTTGAAAGTGGTTTTTGCTCACTATATTGCAATATTTTCCCTTTTTTTAAATTTCAATTTTGGTTTTACTTGAAGCATTATACAAATAACCAACAATAACTCTGTGAGAGGGAAAGACTGTGTGTGTGTGTATTTGCCATTTTAATAGACAAGAAATGTTCATTGGTTTAACTGGTATTTCTTTAAATATTGATACCTTAGCATCTGTTTATGGTTAGTCAACTGTGAATTGCCTATTAGTTACCCTTGCTCATTTTTCTCTTGGTGATATTTTTCTTTTTCATATTGATTTATAAATTCACTTTTAATATGAAGAATCTTTTGTCGTGGCTTGCAAATATATTTTTCAAGTTAGTCTTTTGTTTATGTATATACTTTTGTCATTTACATTTTAAACCGTGGTGTACCTAAAATCTGTCAGTCTTTTAAAGACTGTAGCCTTCTGATTGTGAACGGATTTCCTGAAACTGTTGAGCAAGTCAGTCATAATATTAGGTAGTGCAGACTCAGATTGTTGAAAAAATTCTCATGGGAAGAGAGCAAAGACCTTGTATAATTTATATGTAGATTGGAATTTTTCTTTTTTTTTTTAAGTCAAACTTTGCGTGTTATTTATCATGAACTTCCTCAGTTCTATTTGGGAAATAATCAGTTCTCAAACATTCAATGCACTTTTAGTATGGCAAAAGATTCACTTTTATAGACCTTGCTCTATTTTTGCAGAGAAGATAATTTATATTTTTTTATCCTTTATGAATGAACAAAACTTGATTTGTTCGTCTTAGAATAAATGTCTAAGAGCCTTAAGTGTTACCTTCTTCATAGTGTGATATGTAAAGTACTTACAACTATGGACTTTTTTTTGCATTGCCGAGCAAAAACTGTAGTGTAGATAGAAACAGGAATTTGAAGGGGACCCAAGTGATTCTTTCTGACCCTTTTGTAGGGCAACTGAAAAGGACTAAATGTGCTGAAATTGATGTGGAGACACCAGACTCCATTCTGGTTAATACGAACCTTCGAGCACTGATCAACAAACACACATTTTCAGCCCTTCCTGGGGATTGCCAACAACGACTGCTTTTACTACTTCCAGAGGTGGATCGACAGGTGCGTGATTTCAAGCATAAGCAGTTTTATAATCCATTTGAAGCCTCCTTCACTCATCTGTGGGGTACCCTTTTTTTAAATTGATATTTAAAGAGAGAGGAAGCGGGGGGGGGAGAGAGAACTATTGATGTGAGAGCAAAACATTGATTGGCTCCCTCCAGCACATCCCCTACCAGGGATGGAGCCCGAAACCCAGGCATGTGCCCTGACTGGCGCACGGGAGGACTCCCAGCCAACTAAGCCCACGAGCCAGAGCTCTGTGGGGTATTCTTAATAGGAGGTCACTTGGCCTGTCTCTTTCAGTAATTATGGGGGGAGCACATAGCAACCTAAGAAATATTGTTCTTATGTATGCAGAATATGGAGTTCAAATTAAATGAAATACAACTTTACTATCAGAGGAAATTTGGATTATTTATAAAGAATTTTGGTTATTATTAGCATGAAACATTGAAAACTATATTTCAGTGTATGGAGTTCCCAGCAACAAACAGTAGAAAAATATTATTTAGACCAGAGAAAAGAATAAGGGAAGGAAGTGGATTAAAACACCTTTCTTCAAATATATTGAAGGCCTGTCATATGGAAGAGATGAACTTTTCTACAGTTGGCGTTGTTAAACTGTGGAATGGACTGACTTGTGATAGAGTAACTTGCTCATCACTGGAATTTAAGCAAAGGTTGGATGAACTGTTCTCATGGGAAAATGTGTTACCCCTCTATTAACTCTCTAGAATACAACAAACTATAGCCCTCAGGTCAGTTTCAGCCCACTGTTTGATTTTGTAGTTTTATTGGCCCACAACCACTCTCATTAGTTTATGTATTGTCTGTAGCTACTTTAATGCTACAAACACAAGTTAAGTGCTTGCAACACAGGCTATATGGCCTGCAAAGCTTAAAATACTTGCAGTCTATCTTTTAACAGAAAATGTTTTCCAATTTCTGTTCTAGAGCCAGGGTAAAGTAATGTTCACCCAGACAGATTTTGAAAATAAGTGGATTGAGAAGAGTTCCTCAGCCTCCAAGATGTCCAAGTAGTTACTTAAAATTTCTTCAAAAGGTTGTTTTTGACTTCAAATTAACATTTAGGTTTTTAATCCATCTAGAATTTTTTTTCGTATTGCCCTGAAATTGGGGTTCAACTTTATTTTCTACTGAACAGATAACCAGTTATTCCATTACTACATATTTATATAACCATCTTTTTCTTACAGTTTGAAATACCCTCTGTGTTATATGGTCTGTATATTTATATGTGGTACGTATTTTACAGGTGCAATTCAAAAGGAAATTTCCCTCTTTCAATTTTTTAATTATTTTTTCCATATGAACAGTAAGGTCATTTTAGTAATAAAAATCTGCATGGGGATTCTAACAGGAAACTAGATATTAACTTTGGGGAGAATGGCAGTTTCATTAAGTTTTTCCATCCAGGTTTTTTTGGATCTTGTGTTTTATGCCCTTAAATCAGATTTTGTGCTTTTAAACCAGAACAGGAAATCCAAAATCTGTAATAAAAGGCAAAAGAATCTTAAAACCTTTGGCAAGACATCATGACATCACAGATTAAGTCAATAGACAGATTGGGTGAAATATTTTTGATGTGTGACAGTTTTACTATGAATATGTAAGGGATTCTCATAAATTGATAATAAAAATAAGCAGCCTTATAGAAAAATGAGCAAATGATATAGGAATTGGCATATTGCAATATGGCAAATAAAAATATTCAATAAAAGTACAAAAAGATGCACAACACTCTAGTAGACAGGATAAAGGGAATTTTTACCATTTCAAACCCATTAGGTTGGCAAAAATTAAATAGCATGTTAACATATATTGTTCGCAGGTTAAAAGGTATATTCATATACTTCTAGTCGAAATGTGAATTGTTTTAGCCTTTTTAGAAAATAATATCTAGTTACACACAAATATTTCTTTGCTCTCAACCTATCCCATAGAAATAAAAGCACTAGCGTATTAATCTTTAGTAGAATGCATATTGCAGCTTTGTTAATTAGGGGGAAACAGTATGTGTGTGTGTATACATACACATGTATGAATAGGAAATAGGTTAATGAATTGAGGCACATTATACATACAATGAAACAATATCCAGGCATTACAAAGGTGCTAAAACTATACCAGTTGACTTGCAGAGATTTTCACAATGTATTACATGAGCCAAGTAAGATTCAGAGCAATGTATGTAACTTCGTCACAGTTTTATAAAACAAATAATAAACCTCAGAAGAAAAACTTTTACATGTATTTATTTGTTTGCAAATGATTTTTTGGTATAATTATTCAATAGGGAATGGGATTAAAAGGAGAGGAAGACAGGAAAAGAGGTAGAAAGAAATTTTTTAGAAAAAAAGATTATAACAGAGAAGTGTCCATAGTAAGCAGCATAGTATGATATAGTCATGTTTCTGTAAAATGAATGTACATACATTCTTTTCTAAAAAGAAAAGGAAGTCAAATTCCACATGAGATGTTTGGCTATCCTTTGTAAGCTTTCCTTGGCTTATTCTTTGACTCAGGTTGGTCCAGATGGTCTGATGAAGCTAAATGGCTCAGCCCTTAACAATGAGTTCTTCACTTCAGCAGCCCAAGGCTGGAAGGAAAGACTCTCAGAAGGTGAGTGCTCTATCTTATGTCTCCTAGTATGTCTCTGCACTTGGAGCCACTATGAGGGCATATTGGCACCTCTGTGCCTTAACGGTACTTGAACAATTTTGGAAGGCAAAGGACAGGGTATTTTCATAAGGTAGAACTAGCTATCCTGTGTGAAATACATTCCTAGACTTTCATCTGGAGCCTGTGTAACCAGGTTTAGCTCCAGATGGAGTCCAACAATGTTTCTTTTAAGGCTTTAAAGTCACCTGGGATACTAAAGAGTACATATGTTTAGGCCCTTTTCCCAAAGATTCCAATTTAGTAATTCTAGGTTGATTTCTAGGAATTAAAATTTTAATAAGCTCCCTAAAAGTATAGAATTAGAGTTATTTTATAGTGCTATGAATTATGGTTTGGTAAGCAGTGACATAACCTCTTTATTACTGCCCAACCTCAATAAAACTAACAGTAAAAAGAATTACTAAGAACATTTTAAAAAACAGCCTTTTTGAAAAGTGTTTACATACTGTAAAACTTCCCCGTTGGAAGTGTACAGTTTAGTGGCAGTCAGAGTGTTTTAATTAATATAGATTATGACTTAGAATTGCTGACTGTGGTCACTGGTTTGCCATGTATGCCTTGCTTCTCATTCTGATCTAACAAAGTTACTTAAATTAGAGTAATTGATTGCATTTGGACAGCACATAGTATCCTTAACCCTGACTGCTCATTATAATCACCTCTGGTGTTTCTCGAACTACTGACGGCTAGGACCCCCTCTCAGTTTGTTTTTATTGATCTAGGATGGTGCTTGAGCTTCAGTGTTTCTTTCTTTTAAATTTTTAAAAAAATTTTTATTTTTTATTATTATTTTTTAATCCTCTCCCAAGGATATGTTTTTTAAATTTTATTGATTTTTTTTGTTTCATTTTGTTAATCCTCACCCAAGTGTACTTTTCCATTGATTTTTAGAGAGAGTGGAAGGAGGGGAAGGGAGAGAGAGAGAGGGAGAGAGAAACATCGATGTGAGAGACCCAGAATCGAACCTACAACTTTTTGGTGAATGGGACAATGCTCTAACTAAGTCACTCAGCCAGGGCTTTTTAAAAACTTTAATTTATTGGGATATCTATTTGCTGTCTGTCCTTTTTGGAGAAGTGCCTTTTCCATTTTTTTACATTTTTGGGGGGGGGAATATGACCTTTATTGAGCTTATCTACCAGAGTGGAAATAATATCTGTACAAAACCAAGTGTTTGTTACTATAACTTCTGTATCACAATTAAAATCCAAACAGTGTTTGCCCTGCCTGGGTGGCTCAGCTGGTTGGAACATTTCCCATACACCAAAATGTTGTGGGTTTGATTCCTGGTCAGGGCACGTACCTAGGTTTGGGGTTCCATCGCTGGCCAGGGCAGGGCATCTACAGGAGGCAGCTAGTCAATATTTCTCTCTCACACCTATGTTTCTTTCTCTCTTCCCCTTTCTCGCTCTCTAAAATCAGTAAAAACATATCCTTGGGTGAGGATCAAATAAAATAAAAAATGAAACCCAAACAGTTTTTAAAAGGTTAACTCAATCAAAACCCACTACTTCAGAATCAATAGCTTCTTTGAAGCCACAGTGACACTTAAATATGGTTAAAACTCAAATGCAGAAATTTGGTTGGTTGGAAAGCTAATTAAACTTCCAACTTGCTCAAATAGAATTACAAAAAGGCAAAATTGTGTTTTTCACAGAGATACAGTCCACTGGAATCACCAACACTGGACAGCTGTTAGAGTGTTTAGAGTCCTGAGATAATAAGAAATCCCGGCATCCTTTAGGACAGTCCTCTGTTGTCCTTTCTTCCCAGTCAGAGATTTGTGGATGTGTGGACNGGTGGGGGTGGGGGTGGGGTTGAGTTGTATAAAGTTCTTCATAAATTTTGGATATTAACCCTTTATCAGATATATCATTGACAAATATGTTCTCCCATTCAGCGGGTTGTCTTTTTATTTTGTTGATGGTTTCCTTTGCTGTGCAAAAATTTTTTAGTATGATGTAGTCCTATTTGTTTATTTTTTCTTTTGTTTCCCCTACCTAGGGAGATACATCAGAAAAAAATACTGCTACACGAAATGTCTGAAACTTTACTGCCTGTGTTTCTTTTCTAGAATTTTTATGATTTCAAGTCTTATATTTGAATTTAANCGAACTACTGACGGCTAGGACCCCCTCTCAGTTTGTTTTTATTGATCTAGGATGGTGCTTGAGCTTCAGTGTTTCTTTCTTTTAAATTTTTAAAAAAATTTTTATTTTTTATTATTATTTTTTAATCCTCTCCCAAGGATATGTTTTTTAAATTTTATTGATTTTTTTTGTTTCATTTTGTTAATCCTCACCCAAGTGTACTTTTCCATTGATTTTTAGAGAGAGTGGAAGGAGGGGAAGGGAGAGAGAGAGAGGGAGAGAGAAACATCGATGTGAGAGACCCAGAATCGAACCTACAACTTTTTGGTGAATGGGACAATGCTCTAACTAAGTCACTCAGCCAGGGCTTTTTAAAAACTTTAATTTATTGGGATATCTATTTGCTGTCTGTCCTTTTTGGAGAAGTGCCTTTTCCATTTTTTTACATTTTTGGGGGGGGGAATATGACCTTTATTGAGCTTATCTACCAGAGTGGAAATAATATCTGTACAAAACCAAGTGTTTGTTACTATAACTTCTGTATCACAATTAAAATCCAAACAGTGTTTGCCCTGCCTGGGTGGCTCAGCTGGTTGGAACATTTCCCATACACCAAAATGTTGTGGGTTTGATTCCTGGTCAGGGCACGTACCTAGGTTTGGGGTTCCATCGCTGGCCAGGGCAGGGCATCTACAGGAGGCAGCTAGTCAATATTTCTCTCTCACACCTATGTTTCTTTCTCTCTTCCCCTTTCTCGCTCTCTAAAATCAGTAAAAACATATCCTTGGGTGAGGATCAAATAAAATAAAAAATGAAACCCAAACAGTTTTTAAAAGGTTAACTCAATCAAAACCCACTACTTCAGAATCAATAGCTTCTTTGAAGCCACAGTGACACTTAAATATGGTTAAAACTCAAATGCAGAAATTTGGTTGGTTGGAAAGCTAATTAAACTTCCAACTTGCTCAAATAGAATTACAAAAAGGCAAAATTGTGTTTTTCACAGAGATACAGTCCACTGGAATCACCAACACTGGACAGCTGTTAGAGTGTTTAGAGTCCTGAGATAATAAGAAATCCCGGCATCCTTTAGGACAGTCCTCTGTTGTCCTTTCTTCCCAGTCAGAGATTTGTGGATGTGTGGACTGACACCACCACCAGCAATTGTAGCCTTGATGAGAGAGTCCAATTCTTCATCTCCACGAATAGCAAGTTGCAAATGATGAGGGGTAATATGCTTTACTTTTAAGTGTTTTGATGCATTTCCTTCCAATTCAAGTACCTCTGCAGTGAGGTACTCCAGAATGGCTGTGCTGTACACAGCAGCAGTCTCACCCACCGGTCCGTGACTGGTCGTCCTAGATTTCAGGTGTCAATGTATACGGCTTCCCAGAAACTGCAAGCTGGCTGTCTGCAAGCTGGAAACTGCCTTTGTCTTGGCCTTTCTGGAGTCTTCCCCAGCCTTACCACGAGCCATTTCGAATTCTGCTGAAGCTCAAACAATCAAGGCACAGAAAGGACTAGTCAGACACCCAGCGAGATCCCACCGCCTACTCCATCGCACCNGTCTTTAATCCATTTTGAGTTTATTCTTGTGTATGGTGTAAGAAGGTGGTATGGTTTCATTTTTTTGCACATCTGTCCAATTTTCCCCACACCATTTATTGAATGGACTATCTTTATATCTCAGCAGAGGTATCATGGTGGTTTTCCCTTCAGCTCTCTCCCAAGAGCCACAAACCCCAGTCTCCCCTCATGCAACTCTTGTCTGTTCCACCCTCCCTCCGCCAGAGCCTAGGGTGATGGCTGCAAATAAGATTGAGATTTAGTGCGTTGGCCCTTTAAGAGCATGCTTGTGTTTCTAGCAAACACCATCTCTCCCTGGCAGACAGAATCCCCACTGATTTTCACAGCCAGATGTTATGTGGGCTCCTCTTTCTGCTCTGGTTCTCTGGACTGGGGAGCCTGGCTTGGGGTTGAGACCCTATACTTCTCAGGGGGAACCTTTGCAGCTGAGATGGCTCTCTGGAATCTCAGCTGCTGCCCATGGGAATGGGGCCAGTTTTATCAGCATGTCCACCTTTCCTACCAGTCTCGATGTGGCTGCTTCTGCAAATCCTTGATTATAATGAGACTTTGCTTTAGCTAGTCTTTAGTTGGTTATTCAGGTTGATCGGCTCTGTATTTTAGTTGTAATTCCAGTTTGGTCCTGGGAGGAAGTGAGTGTAGCTTCCACCTACTCTGCTGCTGTCTTGGAGCTCCTTTTTAAGTTACCCCAAGTGATTCTAATATGCAACCATTATTAAAACCACTGATTGTATTAAAACAAGTGTGAAAAGCTTTAAAATAAATACATTTATTCAGGAGAGCATTAAGAATGCTATTTATTGCATACTTTTTAAAAAATATATCTTTATTGACTTCAGAGAGAGGAAGGGAGAGGGGGAGAGAGAGAGAGAGAGAAAGAGAGAGAGAAAGAGAAACATCAATGATGAGAGAGTCATTGATGGGCTCCCTCCTGCACGCCCCCTGATTGGGGATTGTGCCCACAACCCTGGCATGTGCCCTGACCGGGAATCAAACCACGATCTGGATCCTAGGTTGATGCTCAGCCGCTGAGCCACACCTGGCCGGGCCATTGCTCACTGTTTGTCAGATTACCGACAATTAGAGTAATTGACCAGCTAATTAATATCTATATTGTTTACTGCAATTGTTGACTTTTCCTGTCCTGTTTTTCTTTTTAGAACAAATTCTGTGTAGGAGGGATCCCTTGCTCATTACTCTGGTCCTTTCTCTTTCTTAAAGATTTCCATGAGCAGAGGAATTGAAATAACACAGGCACTTTAAAACATACCCATTACCAATGCTTTTCTTGAAGAATAATTTGGTGAAGGATCTATGACTTCCAATCCCCCCCCCCCCTTTTAAGTAGGTATTATTAAAAATGATACCTTGGTTATTATTGTTACTTTTTTTCATATGAGCAGTCACTGCTGTACCTATAGTCATGCAATTATATTTTTTGAACAGCAGAAACTGAACATTATACATGTATGAACAGAGTTCAGTACATTCAGTACTTTTATTTTCTTTTTCTGTTAAGCACAGTAGACTCAACAAAAGAGCACAAGACCTGGGTTGGATTCTGACAGCCAAATTCTTCTTTTCCTACTCATATGCTCAGGACTGTGATTTTCAGTGTTCTCTAAAACTGTTTCTTTCCCTCTTCTTATGTCCAGGAGGGTTTAGATGTCATGTCTGCCATTTCCACCTCTTATTTCCTAATGTCCTGGGCATTAGAATACAAAAGGGAGCAGCCTTTCTGAGCCACAAGTTTGAAGATGGCCTACCAAGCACATTGACTGTTCTCTGCTGATGGAGTGGGAAGGACCAAGGTGGTTGGTAGTGTATGCAAATAAATGGCATATTCAGAGCAGCTGGTCTTTGGCATCTTGCTTGCCTTGTTGCTAGGGCAATAGACTGGTACAATTAGAAAACTGACAACTTCAAAGTAACTTCCTATCTTTTACTGGAATCTCAAGTACCTCTAATCAGGGCCACAGCTGTTCATTATGCAGTTAGAGATAAAAAGCGTAAAGCACACGTTGCCTGGGAGAAACAGAACTTTAAAATAATAAAATGCCCAGTGGCATTATTTACTGAAAGCTCATGAGTATTTTTCCAGTGGAAATCAATTACAAATTCAAGGTTAGTGATAAATCTGTAGGGAGTATGTTTGGAGCAGGAGGAAAGTGCTCTAAGGAGGGCCCAGAGAAGAGGCCCAGTTGACCCTCAGCTGCCTACGTGAAGTGGTGTGCAAATATTTTTATTTCACCTAATGATACCTAGGTACTCTTACAGTAAGGAATATGGGCAAATTTATGTTGCTTTCACAGGACAGGATTCTGACTCCTTCATGAGTCTTTCATGATTTACAAATAGTTAAAAGCAGCAAACAGCATATTTCTATTGAATATCTTTTTGTGTATGTGTGCATTATAGGTGAGTTTACACCTGAGATGCAAGTGAGAATTCGACAAGAGATTGAGAAGGAGAAAAAAGTAGAGCCATGGAAAGAACAATTCTTTGAAAGCTACTATGGTCAGAGGTAATGTCAAGATAGGTTCTGTTCATCTTGTTACCTTCCTAGAAAATGTAGTCCTCAATTTCCTTCTCTTTTTTCACAATTCTTTACCAAGAAAACTTTTTCTCTTTACAATCTCAAGTGCACAGAGTTGGATTAGTCATAATCTTTAACTCTTAAAACATTACCATTGTGGGTAGGAAGGTTTCTTAAAAAAAAAAAAGATTTTAATTATCTTGAATTAAAGTCTCTTTTCTTTAAATAGATTGGCTTTTCTTCCAGTATCTTTATAAAATATAAGAATACTGAAATTCTGTATATTTCTTGTAGTAATTAACTTTACTTTTTTTATTATTATTATTATTTTAAATATATCTTTATTGATTTCAGAGAGAGGAAAGGAGAGGGAGAGAGAGAGACAGAAACATCAATGATGAGAGAGTCATTGATTGAGCCCACAACCCCGGCATGTGCCCTGACCGGGAATCAAACCTGATCGCCTGGATCCCAGCTCAACGCTCAGCTGCTGAGCCACGCCCAGCCGTGCTGTAGTAATTAATTTTAATCCCACAATATAACTTATCCAGAATCACTAAACAATGCTAGGAATACTGTAATAAAGCCTGTTATATCCAATGTTTATTAAGCAGCCTCCCTCCTCTGTAGAAAGCACTCTGGGAGATGTGTATAGCTGAAACAAGATATAAATCCTGTTCTCAAGAGACTGTAGTCTAACTCAGTGTTTTTCTAACAAAAAATCCAAATTAAGTCTTAATGAGGAACATTGAAATAGGTGACAGTGGAGCTGTATTGTTTGAAATAGAATTGAACACCCCGAGTCTTACTTGTTAGTCTCCCTTCCTTCCTCTGCACACCTGACGGCAGCCCTTACAGAGACTCTGCAGGCACCGCTGGCGAGCGTTTGCTCTCTTCCTTATCTCCAGGCAGCGCTCATTGACCCCTTCGCGGTCACTTAGGAAATGATTCCTCTTGAGATTAAGAGTCTCATGTCCTGGTTTTTCTATATTCTTCATATGAACTTTGAGTTCTATAGAAATGATGGTGTGCTTACATTTAGACTATTATTGCAGGTATCAAGTATTCCATAAATACTGTTCATTCCCTCTTCATTGGGCAGAGAGAGCATTACAGCACTTTTTGGATTCTTCCGTTTTTAGCTCTTGCTTTTTGCCAGCTTTTATAGAGGACTGTTTTTGATTACTGTCCAGTTTTGTCCTTAGCCATTTCATTTCAGAGGCACAGTACTAATTATTTGAAGTCACCAAAGAGAGCTGCCTTGTTTTTGCCTGTTAAGCAATATTCTAGAATGCATAGGCCAGAAATCCAACCCATAAGCTGGGACTGGAACCCAGGTCTCACAAGTGGGAGGCAAGAATTCTACCACCGAACCATCATTGCATCCCATTAAACAATATTCTAAATCATTAGAAGAAGTTTCTAGTGACTCCTGCAGAGTGGCCTAGCTCTTAGCCAGGCCGCACTATGGAAGTCTCAATTGGCCTTCACTCCCAGAATAGCTCAGAGGCACTGGATCTCAGAATTATAGAGCTATACCAAGTGAAATTTAAATAGATTTTCTAAAAACTCAGAATTCTCGTCCTCTGGCGAACACTGACAGCCAACTCTCCTATTGTCTCCTCAGGGTCTCTCAGGTTTTTTTTGGCGAGTCTTTCCACAGGTACTGCAGAGCAGAACTGATCACAGTCTACAGTAAACCCACAATCTCAGGGTACATGGGTCTTAGCCTTTCACTTCCCTAGTGGGTAGTCTGTGATGCATGTCTCCAGACAGTGTGGCCCCTTTATAATATGAAATAATAATAACAGTTAACATTACTGAACTTTTATTATGGGCTAGGTACTATTCTAAGTACTTTAAATACATTAACTTAATAATTAGCAACACTATGAAATGATTAACCTCAGTGCACAGTTGAAGAAAGTGAGGTACAGAAGGCTAGTCACTTACTTAATATCACATGGATAGTCATAATCAGAGCCAGGATATGAATCCAGGCACTCTGACTCCAGAACCGTCACTAATAATAATAATAATAATAATAATAATAATAATAATAATAATAAAATACTATATGAAGAATAACTATTATGTGTCAGGTTCTTCTAGGCATTGCCATATACAATTATCTCATAATGCTTCAATAACGTGGCCCATTTCTCAACTAGAATATTTCTTTAACCTTTTAGTTCTGGCCTGAGCCTTGAGGATTCAAAGAAATTGACAGCTTCACCCAGCGATCCCAAAGTAAAGAAAACCCCAACTGAGCAACCAAAATCCATGTTTCCTTCAGAGGCCTCCCCTGTCAGTATAATCCCTGTAATTCCCAAGGTGGAATCTAAAGGAGAAGTCCATATGCCATCATCAGTCAGAAAAGAAGAACAGGAAACCCAAGATAAAGTGCAGCCAGACCCTAAATGCACTGACCCCCTGCTTTGCTCCACCAGCGACACAAGTGAGCGTAGCCTTCTTCCCATCAAGTGCCCAGAGGGTGAGGATGTCTTGGGGCAGAAGCCACTTGCTTCTGCTGAACAGGAATCTGAGAAAGAGAATCATCTCACTGCACCTTCTGACTTTAACAAAAACGAAAGCCAAGAAGCTTTAGTTAAGTCTCTGAGCAAACCCAAGAGTCCTGGAGTGGAGAAACCAGTAATGAAGTCCATAGTAGAAACAGGTCCACAGGAGACCACTGTGAAAGAGCCTTCATCAGCTCTGGTTGATCACAGCTCAGAAAGCCTCAAGAGGAAATCTTCTCTCACCCAAGAAGAGGCCTCTACGAGCTGGGAGAAAAGGCCGCGTGTCACTGAGAATCGCCAGCACCAGCAGCCATTTCAAGTCTCTCCACAGCCCTTTCTCAATAGAGGGGACAGGATCCAAGTGCGAAAAGTACCACCTCTCAAGGTAAGAGAATGGGAAGAACTAAAAGAGAGAGATGGCCTGAACACAGTTTTTGGTGACACCTACCAAATTTCAAGTAATTTTATTCATATGAGACCACGTGTAACTCTGGTCTTTATATGAATAAAATTATTAATAAGCAGCTATTTAGAACTGCATTCCTACAGGTCTTTGTTGGTGTTTGATTAAGTAAGATACCTGGATATCTAATGTAAATTACCCCCACCCACCCCTCTGCTGGCTACTCTTGTATCTTAAGACAGGGAAATTATAGTGTCTTATGTGGCAAAATGAGAAGTATAATGATAAACATGAGGCCATTGGTGTTATCAAAAGATCATATATTTGTACCAAGAACCATAATATTTAAGTGTTCCTTGGCCTTTTTCTTACTGCTGTAACTGATTTGATATGGGTCTAGAGCTACCTTTAGTTCCATCCTGTCAAAGGAAGTGTGTGTGGCTACCATGAGTCACCACTGGTTACTTGAAGGATATTGGTAAGAAGGAATAGTCTTGCTAAGCTCTACTACATAGGATATGGCATTCATTTCCATTTTAATCATATATTACTATGTGTAAAATCTTTCAAATTCCTATAGCAGTGCCTCTCTCTCAGTATATAAAGACTACATCTAATTAGTAGTGTACCTTTGAAAACCCAACCTCATTTTTACTTTTGATCTAAAGGTTTATTAATACTTGGGCTTGTGCTTAATATCAGCTTGCAGTCCTTTCATTCATTTAATTAATAAATAGTACTTATTTATTAATATGTTTTTATTAATAGTATTTATTAATATTATTGTGTCTACTCTGAGCCCAGGCACTGGGTATTCATCCACGTTAGGATATAAGTAGGAAAATAAGCCATATAGAAATACCCCCCTCCTTTTTTTTATTTAGGTGAATCAAAGTTAGTTCTGTCAGGAAACACCCTTTGGAAACATTCACTTACTAGTACTTGACCCATTTCATGTACCATGTGACTCCTCTCATTTTGCTTCTTATTACTAATAGTATGACATTTCCTTAGTACTTTTTATTTTTAAGATTTATGCTTTCAGTACTTACTAATCTCTCCTTATTTTTTGATAATTTTCTACCATTAACACATTCTGTCATGGTTTGCCAGATATTTTTATTTATATGATAATTATTTTTACTATTCTTATACAAATATTAGAAACCTTTCTTTAATGAATGTCAGAACTAATCTTCAGACCTGAGAGCTGAGTTACAGTTTAGGTTTTACTTCATATAAATGACACTTGGTAAGATCCATCATTTCATTTCCTCATCTGTAAAGAGGCTAAACTACATCATAGTCTGCTAATCCCAAGAGGCTCAATGCTGAAAACTTAAATCCATTATGACCAAGTTAATACTGTTTAACTTTTTCCTTTTACTTTCTGCTCCTTCCTCATCGCCTCCAAGAAAGACTTTCTACCAGAACTTGCTTTATAACTCTAATTTTACCGTAGACTTGATCACAAATCCCGCTTTCTTAGACAAAGCTTAAATTAATGTATAACAAAATAATACCTTTTAAACAAAATTTAAGTACAAATTTGATTACAAATGTTATACATGTATGTATATATATATATACACATATATATATATAAATTGTGTATGTGCATGTGTCATATATGCATATCTATAACAGTGTTGTGTGTATACAGTGTATATTTCTTTTTATAAGACAACATTTATTTGGTAAATCACAGAAATAGAAAAAAGTAATTCCTAGAAGAAATGGGCTGAGGAAACAAGTTATAGAGTTAAGAAAGGGCCCTTGGAGCTTGAGAGTGAGAAAGCTGATGGTAAAGTGCCTCGGGGAAGGGAGAGAGGGAAAGGGAAAGGCACGGGCCTGCTCCCAGGAAGGAGAGTGCCTAAAAAATTTTTTCAGTTACAGTTTACATTCACTATTATTTTGTATTAGTTCCAGGTATACAGCATAATGGTTAGACAGTCACATACTTCACAAAGTGTTCTTCCTGATATTTCCAGTACCCACCTGGCACCATACATAGTTATTATATTATTATTGACTATATTCCCTATGCTGTGCTTTACATCCCCATGACCGTTTTATAACTAATCTGTGCTAGTCAATCCCTTCACCTTTTCACCCAGTCTTCCCATCCCCCTCCCAAGTAAGATATCTTACATGAAAATCAGTGGTTTCAAACCTGATAATGCATCAGAATCTCACTCAAGAAGCTTTTTTAAAAAGCATTTTCCCCCCTAGGGGTTCTAATTTGTGAATTTTGGGATAGGACTCAGCATATGTAGTTTTCAAAAGCTCCACTGGTTAAGTATAATACCAGGCAGGGACGAGAATGACTGGTAAACATTGTATACATTACATACATATTCTCTCACGTGGATGGGCAGAGTGGGGTGCACCTGTGGATCACACATACATACTCTCTTCCTTCCAGTGCAATCTACTAACCACTGTAATTTGAGGTAACTCAGCCTGTACTCTTAACTGTTGTATGCATGCATATGCACGTGCACATGTGGAGCAGAAGCAGCAAGTTTTCTCCCGGACCTCAGTAGGAATGCTGAGAAGCACAAGGCAGTTGTGTTACGCTGCTTTTTTCTTTCTGTTTCTCTCTTCTCTCACATACACATTTGAAAATGCAGATACCGTAGAAAGGTTTATATCTTAAATGATAAGCAGTTTTGAGTAGTTGTGACATTAGGAGAGAGAGGTATGGGAATATGAGGTGGGAGTGAATGTTGAGGGAGGAGAGGCTTTGGCACCAGAAGGGGAGGTTGAAGGACCCTAGAAACAAAATTGTGTTGCTGTCTGCATGATTTGGTCTTTCATCAGAGACCTCCCATCTTTGTCACAGGTGTTGTAGTGCTCATCCTACTCTAAGAATGTAAGTGTTAATGAAGTTTTGTTATTCTTGTAAATGAAAACTAACATCTGTTGGTTTTCTTCCCCCTACTTCTTTCAGATCCCGGTCTCCAGAATCTCCCCCATGCTGTTTCCTACATCGCAGGTCTCTCCCGGGGCTCGTTTTCCAATCTCCATCACTAGTCCTAACAGAACAGGAGCCAGAACTCTTGCAGACATCAAAGCAAAAGCCCAGCTGGTCAAAGCACAGAGGGCAGCAGCTGCCGCTGCAGCTGCAGCTGCTGCAGCCGCCGCAGTTGGAGGGACCATTCCAGGACCTGGCCCAGGGGGTGGACAAGGTCCAGGAGAGGGTGGCGAAAGGAAGACTGCTAGAGGAGGGAGTCCAGACTCAGGTAGAGTCAGAGAAACTGGAAAGGGCCCCACACTGGAACTGGCAGGAACTGGAAGCAGGGGAGGTACGAGAGAGCTTTTACCCTGTGGTTCAGAGACTCAGCCCCAACCTGAGACCAAGACCTCAGGCCAGGCACAGCCTCATAGTGTCTCTGGAGCACAACTACAGCAAATCCCCTCAGTGCCTCCAACATCTGCCATCAGTGGAGCATGCACAAGTGTCCCATCACCAGCTCACACTAGCGCACCCCCACCAGCTTTAGGGAAATTGAATATTGAGAAACTGAATGCTGCCAGGGCAGCAGCCACGGTGGCCTCTCTTAACCACCCACAAGGGCCCAGTCCTTGCAGGCAGGAGAAAGTCCCTTCTGCTCCAACAGTTCCTGCTCTAATCTCAGGTGCCTCACCTGTTCATTTTGCAGCTGATGGCACAGTTGAGCCCAAAACAGGCCCTAGTAAGAATACACCAAACCCTTCAGCCTCAGCAGAGACAACTGCGAGGGCTTCAGTGGATATGACTTCCTCCCCTTTAACATCTTTATTAATAGCAGCCACTTTAGAAAAGCTTTCTATACCCCAGGTCAGTGTAACTGTAGCACCTACCGCATCAGCTCCATCCTCAAGCACTTTGCCAGCAGCTTCTAGCCTTAAAACTCCAGGAACTTCTTCAAATATGAATGGACCCATTTCACGGCCAAGCTCAAGTATCCCTGCTAATAATCCTTTGGTCACTCAGCTGCTCCAGGGCAAAGATGTTCCCATGGAGCAAATTCTGCCTAAACCACTCACCAAAGTTGAAATGAAAACTGTTCCACTGACTGCAAAAGAGGAAATAGGGATAGGAGCACCCACAGGCACCAACATAACAGAAAACAGCACCAGAGAGGAAGTTCATGAGAGGCCTTCTCATCCAGCAATACAGCAACTGGGTAAAACCTTGCAAAGTAAGCATCTCCCCCCAGTTCCCAGACCCCTTCAGCTCTTTTCAGGTAAGGATCTGAGGGACTCTACCATTGACACACACCAAGAAGGACTCAGTAAAGCAACCCAAGATCAGATCCTTCAGACTCTCATCCAAAGGGTTCATATTCAGAGGCATAATGTTCTCTCATTTGTGCAGCCCCCGCAGTTCAACTTCACTCACTCAGGTTTCCAGTTAGAAGACATCTCCACAAGCCAGCGGTTCATGCTGGGGTTTGCTGGCAGAAGGACTTCGAAGCCTGCAATGGCAGGTCACTACTTACTTAACATTTCCACCTATGGCCGGGGTTCAGAGAGCTTTAGGAGGACCCATTCTGTAAACCCTGAGGACCGTTTTTGTCTAAGTAGCCCCACTGAGGCCTTGAAAATGGGATATACAGATTGTAAAAATGAAATGGGAGATAATAGCAGCGGCAAAGAAGATACTGATGAGGAAAGTACTGGTGATGAGCGAGAGTCCGTCATGGTGAAGGAGGAGCCCCAGGGCTCTGGCAAGTGTGAAGCAGGTTCAGGACCCCACAGTAGAGAAACCCTAGCCACTGATTGTTTAGCTAACAAGAATATGAAGGCAGAGACACCAGTGCCTGAGCAAACCACTTTAAGCAAGGAGAACTGTCTGTTCACTAGAGGCCAGACATTTGATGAAAAGACCCTAGCCAGAGATCTGATTCAGGCAGCACAGAAGCAGATGGCTCACGTGGCAAGAGGTAAGGCGATGCACAGCAGCCCTGAGATGTTCAGTTCCACTGCTCTTCCTCCACCTACAGGCAGTCCCACCCATCAGCCTCTCCTCCTCCCACCACTGCAAACCCCAAAGCTGTATGGGAGCCCCACACAGATTGGGCCAAGCTACAGAGGCATGATCAATGTCTCTACTTCATCGGACATGGACCATAACTCTGCTGTACCCGGAATGCCTGACTGTGGCCAGGTATCTAGCAATGTAGGCGACGTCATGTCTTTTTCAGTGACTGTCACTACCATCCCTGCTAGCCAAACTATGAATCCCAGCAGCCATAGCCAGACCATTCCTGTCCAGGCATTTCCTGAAGAGAACAGCATAGAGGACACGCCTTCGAAATGTTACTGCCGATTGAAAGCCATGATCATGTGCAAGGGGTGTGGAGCTTTCTGCCATGATGACTGCATTGGCCCCTCTAAACTGTGTGTCTCCTGCCTTGTTGTGCGGTAACGAGACTAGAAAGAGAACACACTGTACAGGAGGCAGGAAGGGATGACAGGATGTGTTTTTTGCGTCCTTTTGGAATCACAGAAATAAGTAGATCTCAGTTGTCGAGATAAATGTTGCTTAATCAGGTATACAGAGTACAGATCTTACATTTTAGAGGAAGAGCACCTTGTATAGTAAGTCTAAGTCAAGCAAGACTTTGTGAATTTGTGACAAGTTTGCACTTACAAAATCATGTAAATATGTCACATTTTGTTTTTAACATTATTTTTCCAAGTGTTTAGGTAATAATGTATTACTTTTAATTCAAATTTATGTTCTACTTCATGTGACTCTGAGAAAAATTCAGTGCCGTGCATGGTGAAAGGAAGCTTGTCTCCCTTCTGTCCTTTCCTAAGAGGCTAGGAAGAGGAAGGAGTGAATGAATGGCCTGGAGAAGTGACTGTTCATGCTGATTATGTCTTGACCACCTGCCTGTAGGTTTTATGTGGATTTTTCAGCCTTTCCAGAATATGGATTCAGGTTTACTCAGCCCCTTCAGCCCCTTTACCTTAGATGGAACCTTCTGAATTCAAATTTTGATAAGGTATTAATTTCACATCTAGTACTTCAGACTCTGAAAGCTCTGACTTGGTTCTTGGCTTCCCTAAACCAGTACTATTGACAAGCACAATGCATGCAATTTGTGGGTCCCTGCTGCTCCCTAATCCTACTCCCCTGCTCTGAGATTGTGAATGTGGTCCGTGTACTTAGTCATGGGAGCTTACAAACAGGTTTAAAATACTAGCATAAAATTAACAGGGAAGTATTGGTGACGGGGTGATTTGAACTGTGTATTTTGTTGGGCAAGGGGAATAAAGGTGCAGAAACTTAACTCTGGGAAAGAATCTTAACATTAAAAACCAAACAGCCTCTTCTCCCAATCCATTACCCAGGGTTCAGTAGTCAGTTGTTGCTTCAGGTAGAAAAGCTCATGAATGCCGCCTTTGCCCATTCTGTTAAGCCTGTTTTGACCTCCCAGGCATCTGAGGAGTATAGAGTAATCTTACTATGTTACTTTGAAGACATCTGCACACACACAATAAAAGTCAGACACTTCCTGTTTTAGAAAATATGTCCCCTGTTTTGGATTACTGCTGTCTATGCACTAGAAATTTCTAATGTAAAGGGGCTTCAGTGAATGGCTAAGGGAACATGTAGAAAGGAGAGAAATTACCTCCAAAGCTTTGTTGTTTTTGTTTATTTTTTGTGTCCTTGTTGTGTTTTTAAGCCTGTATCTAGCAACTAAAGAATTTTCGAGTATATATATTTAGGTCATGGTTAAAGAACATTAAAATAAGCCTACAGTTTACCAGAATTTGAATTTTAAAATTGAGTATTGTCAATGTGCATCATTTGCATATTGATTTCAAGTTTTCTAATTTCAAGTAGGTAAAGTAAAAATACTGCTGTAACCTAGTACAGTTGTAGTTGTACTTATTATTCAGGATGTGATACTTACAACATGCAGAACAGTGTAAACTGGTTAAGTCACATTCCAGGTTAGGAGAAAGCAGTAGTAACCTTTGCCCCCATTCTGCTACCCTTTCCTGTCCTCCTTCCATGTTATACACTCTTGATATTTTCAAACTCTATAAGAAACTCATTACTTTACTATTTTCATTTGTTGTTTCTGTTTTTTTGTGTGGGCCAAGGCAATTAGAGGACTAATATCTGTGTTCTTGTTTCCGCCTAGACAATGTCCTTCTGACTCCCCTTTTTCTTCCAGCCACACACAGCTGCAAGGATCCCAGGGGTAAGGTTTAAGTTCTCCAGCCAAGAACCAGTAAGAAAGTCTGTTCTCAGACTTTCGGTGTCCTGGGTAATTCAGGGGGAGCTTAAAAAGACCTGTTGCTGGTTCAGATTTCCCATGCTCAGCTCTGCACTCTGCACTTCAGTGGCAGGCTGCGGGTTGGTCTGAGTGCTGGAAGTTGTTGAGAGTTTTAGAACTGACCACATGCTAAACAATTGCCAATTTGGGTTGATTAAAGAGGTTTTTCTTCTTTGCACCTTTCCTGAAATAGAAAGTTTCTCCTCCCTGGTTCCCTTAATGTGAGGATGGATCAACTAATCAGGAAAGGAGGAAAGGCATCAGGGATTTTCAAGTTCATTTAGAGAGCAAACCATATCGTGCCTCTTCATCTTGACCTAGGCTCTTGCAGATGGTCCTTAGATTTACTGTTCACCAAAATTTCTTAATACCCAGCTAATAAAACACCTGCATTTATTAATGCCCCTAAAACAGAAATTGAAATCGACTAGATACACTGCCCCAATATTGGCCAAATAAGAGAATAGTTAGGCTCTCTTAGGTTGGTAGTAAATTGAATACAGTCCGTTTATCAGTTTGTTTCAAAACTGGTTTCAAGTTGAAAGTCATGCGCTGAACAGGAAGAAAAAATTACTATTTGGCTCTTGAAAATAAGGCAGACTGGACAAAAAAATCATTAAATTATTAAAGTATGGTATTCCAGTACCTTTAAAGCAATTTTTATTTTAGGTTTTCAGAATTTACCACTCAATTCAGTCTAGTACGTGCTAAGCTTATTTTTCTGGTATTAAGTTGCACTGTTTCGAGTGAGTAGGCAGGTTTATGTCTGATGCTTATACCTCTGGGGTGTGCTGCAGATGCCTCCCACTGCAGGTCACCTTGGGGAGGGCGCATTACAGTGTATCATCTCAGTCTCTCTTATGAATGTTGTGAGTCGTCTCGGAAAGAAGGCTCCTTGAATCTAAAAGAATTTTGACTAAAATTCTCTATCCTGTTAAATAGAAAATAAAGCCAAATAACCTGGAGTTGTTTGCTCGGCTTTATCCCTAACTCCTGTACTCAAGATACTGAAGCTGTCTGTGGTACCCCATGTAACATTTTAAAGATCTGACAGAGGTGCAGTTTTTCTTGGGGTAGGGAAGCATTCTTGCATGGGCTAGGAAGGCACACAGATGTGGTTGTTTTAGGAAATTATCTCAGATTTAAATAAATAGCCAAAGGAAGACCTCATTGCTTTCCAGGTAAATGTGTAAATTCATACATATTAATAACCTGACAGTCATCATCCTAATTGTTTACTGCCATCTCTGCCTTAGAGTCCCTAAAAACTCTTGGGTGAAATGATTTGTTGTAATGAAAGGGTCTTCTCTGGTCATTACACTGCTATTTATTTCTAGAACTCACTGTCAGTGACCAGTGCCAGGGTTTTTCTCTGTAGCCTAGAGGTTTGACTTCACGACAAGGAGGGAAAAGTCTCCCCATTGCATTACAACAATGTGCTAAGTAAAAACTTGGCCAAGGGTAGTTTTCAGCTCAATTTATAGAATAGTCCAAAGAGACTGAGAAACATGATGATAGGCAGGGATCTTTCCTACCATGTTTCAATACCTACATACCTATTGAAAGAAAATAGGTAAAACATTTCCTAAAGTTGAAGTAAGAGCTTCATAGATTATTGGTTACTTTATTTTTATTAATGCTTTACATTTGATACAACTATTAAAGATCAATTTTAAAAATAGCTTTCCAGTAATATATTTTAAGTAATATATATTTTAATATCTATGTAAAAAGTGACAGTGGAAGACTGAATTTCTCATATATGGTATGTTTAATGTAGGACCTCACTGTTAAGGCTCAAATGATTTCAAAGGAGGTTACTCTAAAGACACTCAGATTATTTCCAAAAAATGCAATAAGGGTGATAGTCTTGGAGTTTATTTTTTATTTTAAAGGAAAATTGACTTATTTACCACAAGCTATTTTTTTTCCTTCCGGCTATAAGGTTTGTACAGACTGGTTTGGTAAATGTAAACTTTTGTGTCTTTTTGCCTTTTTTAAAGGAATTGTTAACATTGGAATTGAGGGTATGTACAGAGAAGTTGGTGTCAGCACCATTTAAAAGTCATATTTTTTCACAAATATAGAAAAATCATTTTACATAAGAACTTTAAGTATTTGCAATAAATATATGTATATAGATTGTGTGTATTCATATATTCTTATTTTTCATTTTATTAAGTAAAAGATAATTAAAGTGAAAAAAACTGTGGAGTTTTTGGTGAATCTTGAGATCTGATATATCTGAGAGTGGTGTGGGTAAGGGCCCTCAGTTGTTGCCTTATTTACTATTGGAAGATTTCCACAGATTGTATAGAAGGGAGTAAAGTGAGTAACTTGGTGATAAATCAGGGTAACATTTATTCCAGAACTATATTAAAAATATTAAATTCTCATAATCTGTCTGTCTATTTTCACCCTTAAACTGTTCTGTCTCCTAATCACTTAATGTCATTGGGAAAGTAAAACAAAAAAATAAGACCCCAGGTGCATTTTTAAAAAAATATGTCCATTGTTTGCTTCTAGAACAAAGAATGGTAAGAAAATACCTCAGGGAAAAATAGGTTTTCCTTTCTCCACACTGGTTAATAATTCATTAACAAACATTCACTGCCAACATCTTCCAGGGCGAGGAGAGTGTGAAGAAATAATCTCATGAAGATAATCGAACACTTTTTCTGTTGCCCAGTTTTTCTCTGATAAGCAAGTTTCATAGCCAGTCTTACGTCCCTGTGGATCTGGAGAGGTAGAGGAGCTTGGTGGACCTGGATTTCATCTCCTTAGTGTCAGGAAGGGGGTTTATGAAAACAAGGACTGAGCCAGATGTTAGTCCTATACTTAGAGGTAATCTGCAATCCTGATGTCCAAGAGGTAATTTTGTGGTCGTAAATACTTAGTTTTAGAATATGCTTGAGGAAGCAAAGTGATACCCAGGTAGTCTTTGGAAATAAAGGTATGTAGCCCATTCTTTTAAAATGGATAATATATAGATTTATTTGATGACCTGAAAGGAAATAAGGTCAGAATTTGAAGAATGTATCTTAGTGACCCATGAAACTGACTAGTTTAGTTCATCCCAAAATTGCTCAGCTGTGGTTTTCACTGATGAAAATAGTGTACTTTGGAAATTAAGGATACATAGAATGCTTTTTAGAAGACAGCCTTACTGTTTTTCAAAAATTGAAATTTTAAACATTGGGGTTGCCCAAAGACATTGAGGTTAGTTTAGCTGTACAAAAGAACAGATCTTACTGAAAATACACTATTTCTAAAGAAAACTTCTTAAGTCTTAGGGAGCATCTGCATCCCCATAATTCCCATATGTAATAGGTAGGAAAGAAGATGAAGTATTTAAATGTGTGTGAACCCATCCATGATGGCCATTTACAATGATGCCCCCCACACCCGATTTCTAGCGCGTATTTATCATTGTTTAAACAGGCCTCCTACCTCACTGGAAATAAAACTTGTTCAGGTAATGACGTAGGAGCCTAACGGTAGAGCTGGTCTGCGGTTGAGTGAGGAAGCAGTGTCCCCGGATGCAGCTTCAACTTGAATCCCCAGCTTCCCACCACAGTCTTAGAAACCTGTGTTCATTTCTTTTGACACTACTTGACCATAAGTGGTCTTCAGAAATCAGATTTTGCATAATGTTTCCAGCTGTTTTTGTGTACAAATCATGTTATTTACTAATTCAAATATTTATTGAACACCTGCTTGTGCTGAGCACTGCTGAAGTCCTGGTTATGCACGGGTAAACAAAAGCAGCCTTGCAGATTGTGAAAGGTCTTGCTAGCGTAACCATACAACATGTATGTACTTCCCAAGGCTTAGGCATGTTGGAAGTTTAATTGTAAATGAATTACGAAATAGAAGTGTTTAACACACTGGGCAAAACTGGCAAACCATGAAGAAGAAGGCATTGCCCCTAGAGAAGAGCAATGTGGAAGTCAGGAGCCACATTAATAAATTCACCTTTTTTAAGAACTTTCATTAGGAGGTTTAGAGTTCTTGATAGAAATCACAAGAAATCTCTCAGTGATACCTAAATTGATGAATCAGGCCGAAAGCAATCCCTTTCAATTACTTCCTGTCAGTAAAGATGCTTTATCTTGCGTTCAGTGAACCCTTTGGAATAACAAGTGGGTACATAACCCAGAAGAAGCTAAAGGGAATGAAGTCACAGCTTGATTGTCACCTGGTAGTCTGGCGAGAAGGAAGTGTGTCCCTAACGTGTTGCACCCCTGTTTTTCTTCCATGGATATAATTAGGGTTTTATTCTAATATTGTGGAATTGGCTTTTTTTTTTTCTAAGTTACAAAACTTGGAAAGAGGCTCAGCAGAATCCTAACCTTTTTTAGTGGCCTAAATCCTAATTCTTTAAGACTTTCTGGTAGAAGGTTTTAAAAGGATAAATTTTACCAGTGCTTATTCTTGAATTTCCCTTACCCATTTATCTTTAATCTGGGTTATTGGGTTTGCAACGTGAATTTTTATGCCCAAAACATCCATAGTTACCTTTTGGTCAAAGAGGTATTAGGTGTATTCCACTGTGCAATGTAGTGTCATCTCTGTCCAGGAAGTAGGAGGACAGATGTCCTGTATTCTCCTAGTACTAGGTGACCTTAAACAGAAGGTTGGGTTTCTTTCGTAGAGACTATAAACGAGGGCCTCTCTATACCTCCATGTGGCTTTCAGTCTCAACCTAAAAAGGGAATCTCCTAGAAAATGTCCCTTTAACAGGAAGGACAGACTGAGCCTGGGAGAGAGCCAGAGATGGTCAGCTGTGGAGACGGGCTGTGAGTAGGTAGTGGATTCTCCTGAAGAGTAACTTTAAACTCAGCTTTTTTGGTTCTTCAAACTCAAAAGAAGTTATAGGGTATTTAAAAACATCTGATTTTCATCTTCACTGCGAACTTTGAGAATGCCTAGGGAAGAAGAAAGGTAAACCCGAGATTGGATTTAAGCTAGATTTACGTAAACTGAATTCTTGTTTTTAAAGTTTTGGGTTCCATTAAGATAATTGCCCTGAGTGGAACACGGAGTTTGGAGGCATTTGTGGGCTCAGTAGTGGCTAAGTATTGAATTGTAGTGGCAGCTTTAGCCACTGATCACGATTTAGGGTTGTGCACCTGTGTCTGTTAAGTAACGCAGACGTCGGCTCATAAATAC